GGTCACCACGAGGTAGCTTCTTCTCACCACCACGATGTAGCTTCTTCTCATCACGAGGTAGCTTCTTCTCACCACGATGTAGCTTCTCACCACCACGATGTAGCTTCTTATCACCACGATGTAGCTTCTTCTCACCACCACGATGTAGCTTCTTCTCACCACGATGTAGCTTCTCACCACGATGTAGCTTCTTATCACCACGATGTAGCTTCTTATCACCACGCTGTAGCTTCTCACCACGATTTAGCTTCTTCTCATCACGATTTAGCTTCTTCTCATCACGATGTAGCTTCTTATCACCACGATTTAGCTTCTTATCACCACGATTTAGCTTCTTCTCACCACGATGTAGCTTCTCACCACGATGTAGCTTCTTCTCACCACCACGATGTAGCTTCTTCTCACCACGATGTAGCTTCTCACCACGATGTAGCTTCTTATCACCACGATGTAGCTTCTTATCACCACGCTGTAGCTTCTCACCACGATTTAGCTTCTTCTCATCACGATGTAGCTTCTTATCACCACGATTTAGCTTCTTCTCATCACGATGTAGCTTCTTATCACCACGATTTAGCTTCTTATCACCACGATTTAGCTTCTTCTCACCACGATGTAGCTTCTCACCACGATGTAGCTTCTTCTCATCACGATGTAGCTTCTTATCACCACGATGTAGCTTCTTCTCACCACGATGTAGCTTCTTATCACCACGATGTAGCTTCTCACCACGATGTAGCTTCTTATCACCACGATGTAGCTTCTTCTCACCACGATGTAGCTTCTTATCACCACGATGTAGCTTCTCACCACGATGTAGCTTCTTATCACCACGCTGTAGCTTCTCACCACGATGTAGCTTCTTATCACCACGATGTAGCTTCTCATCACGATTTAGCTTCTTCTCACCACGATGTAGCTTCTCACCACGATGTAGCTTCTTATCACCACGCTGTAGCTTCTCATCACGATTTAGCTTCTTCTCACCACGATGTAGCTGCTCACCACGATGTAGCTTCTCACCACGATGTAGCTTCTTACCACGATGTAGCTTCTCACCACCACGATGTAGCTTCTCACCACGATGTAGCTTCTTCTCACCACGATGCAGCTTCATTCCACCACGAGCTCTCGGCGTCCTGATGGTGGCATTGTCCTGGTGCTGTTCGCCTTTTGGCGTCGTCTTCTAACATTGGTTGAGGCGAGGCTCTAGGCCAAGAGCCATCTGGACATTCACAACATCGTTCGCGGGCCGTACGAAATGCACCAACTTAAAAATTAGCCCCCCGTTATATTTGGGCCAAAACATTTCAATGAACTCTGCCCCCTAAATGCGATGGGGCTGCTGGAACTTGCTTCTCTTTGGGCGAGGCGTGGTGATGACGTTAGCCGGTATTGTTGACGATGTCGTTGCTGCTCGCGACTGCTTTTCCCGGGTTTTGCACGACCTAGATTTGTTGAATTTTCGAGTCCCGCCCTGCAGTTGCCTTTGGCAGGGCCAGAGGCCCAAATGATTTCGCTGGGTCCTCGTACGGCCCCGCGGGCCGGGCGTTCCCCTTTAACCCCCTGCTCTAAAGAAAGCCGTCTCTGATGTGGAGCAATCAGTCTCAAAGACAATGCATCAGCATGTACTAGCAGAGCGTGGTATTTTTGTTTGCACTTTGCATGATGTACCGTGTGCGGTTAACGCAGTGACATGATTCCCTGCGAAAAGGATTCTGTTTGGTGTTCTAACGTCTGAACACGACTGCTGTTTTATTGCGAGAAAGGATACAGCCGATTCTTTTACAGTTCAACAAGTAGCAGCAGAGCTTTCGCGAGCAATGTCGTCCATGACACAGGTTTTTTTTTTCCTTGGGGTGAGATTGCGTGAATATATAAACGTTGTGTCGTTGATCCCGCCACCACCCGACACGGCCGACTCCTAAGAGGGTTTGGTCACGTAAACAGAACGTGGCCAATTCGTTACTCGTACAGCACTGGTGTGTAGTGTATAGTGTAGTGTATAGTGTAGTGTATAGTGTATAGCGTAGTGTGTAGTGTGTAGTGTAGTGTATAGTGTAGTGTATAGTGTAGTGTATAGTGTAGTGTAGTGTATAGCGTAGTGTGTAGTGTAGTGTATAGTGTAGTGTAGTAGTGTATAGTGTAGTGTATAGTGTGTAGTGTAGTGTATAGTGTAGTGTATAGTGTGTAGTGTATAGTCTATTCTAAGTAGTGTATAGGAGTGTAGTATATAGTGTAGTGTATAGTGTAGTGTATAGTGTAGTGTGTAGTGTATAGTGTAGTGTATAGTGTAGTGTGTAGTGTAGTGTATAGCGTAGTGTGTAGTGTGTAGTGTAGTATATAGCGTAGTGTGTAGTGTAGTGTATAGTGTAGTGTATAGTGTGTAGTGTATAGTGTGTAGTGTAGTGTATAGCGTAGTGTGTAGTGTAGTCTGTAGTGTAGTGTATAGTGTGTAGTGTATAGTGTGTAGTGTATAGTGTATGCTATAGTAGTGTATAGGAGTGTAGTATATAGTGTAGTGTATAGTGTAGTGTGTAGTGTATAGTGTAGTGTGTAGTGTATAGTGTAGTGTATAGTAGTGTATAGGAGTGTAGTGTATAGTGTAGTGTGTAGTGTATTCTATAGTAGTGTATCGGAGTGTAGTGTATAGTGTAGTGTATAGTGTGTAGTGTTTAGTGTATTCTATAGTAGTGTATAGGAGTGTAGTATATAGTGTAGTGTGTAGTGTAGTGTATAGTGTAGTGTATAGTGTAGTGTATAGTGTAGTGTATAGTGTAGTGTATAGTGTAGTGTATAGTGTAGTGTAGTGTATAGTGTAGTGTATAGTGTAGTGTGTAGTGTAGTGTATAGTGTAGTGTATAGTGTAGTGTGTAGTGTAGTGTATAGTGTGTAGTGTATAGTGTAGTGTGTAGTGTAGTGTATAGTGTGTAGTGTATAGTGTAGTGTATAGTGTGTAGTGTATAGTGTAGTGTGTAGTGTAGTGTATAGTGTAGTGTATAGTGTAGTGTATAGTGTGTAGTGTAGTGTATAGTGTGTAGTGTATTCTATAGTGTAGTGTATAGTGTATTCTATAGTAGTGTATAGGAGTGTAGTGTATAGTGTAGTGTGTAGTGTATTCTATAGTAGTGTATAGGAGTGTAGTGTATAGTGTAGTGTGTAGTGTATAGCGTAGTGTATAGTGTAGTGTATAGTGTATAGTGTATTCTATAGTAGTGTATAGTAGTGCAGTGTATAGTGTAGTGTAAAGTGCAGTATACTAGTCCAGCGCGAACCGTTTGTGCGTTGGAGAGCCAAGCCGCAACATTTCACAATCTTGAGCACGACGTGTCGCCAGTAATCACAGCTAGCTTCGACAGGCGACAGGCGACAGGCGACAGACGCGTTCGCCTTTGCCGAGGGCAAATCTGTCTGTCGCCTGACATGAAGCTTTTGTCTTCATCTTCGTCAAATCCGAAAACTTGAGCTCCTCTTCTGCTTTGCCTCCGGCGCCGAAGGCCTCGCGATGTCGTCCTTTGTTGTCGTCGTTGTTGTCGTTGTTGTCGTTATTGGAAAAGAATGAGGCACGTTCGTCAGGGTGATTTAATCCCACTCGTAAATATTGATGACCCGCCAGAGTCTCGTGATTCATCACACGGATGGCGTGTGGGTCAATGAGTGGGGAGCGGCGGGGACGGCGGCGGCGGCGGCGTTCAGCGCTACGCTGGTCTACGAAACCACCACCCCCCCACGCACCCCCGGCAACCCGAGTTCGATTCCCGCTCACGGCCAACACCGGCACCGGTGACGATTATCCGAAAACCGGTCCCCGGGGGACCTCCCCGTCGGTCGACTCAGCCTCGAGTGAATACCTGGCGCGGTGTAGCAAACGTCGCCACCCGGGGGGGGGGGGAGACAAAGGCGGCCGGGCGTGGTTCTGGCCGCCACACCCCATGGTGTGCCTGCACAGTGCCGGCCTCCGTAGGTGTGTGGGTCAGTGAGTGGGGAGCGGTAGTGCCGTCGAGGTTATCGCTACGGAACCGGCGGCCCGAGTTCGATTCCCTGCTCACAGCCACAATCATCCGGTGACGATTGTCTGAGCTGGTCCTGGGCCCCCCCCCTAGGTCGGCTCAGCCTCAAATGAATACCTGGTGAGGTGCGTCGAAACATTGGCAATAGCGGAGACAAAGGCGGCCGGGCGTGGTGCTGGCCACCCACCCGCTTGTCACACAGAGACCCAGAGACTCACACAGAGACCCATAGACTCACACAGAGACCCATAAACTCATCACACAGAGACCCAGAGACTCACACAGAGACCCATAGACTCACACAAAGGCCCATAGACTCCCATAGATACACATAGACTCATCACGCAGAGACCCATAGACTCACACAGAAACCCATAAATTCACCACACAGAGACCCAGAGACTCATCACACAGAGACCCATAGACTCACCACACAGACACCCACAGACTCACACAGAGACCCACAGAGACTCACACAGAGACCCACAGACTCACACAGAGACCCACAGACTCACACAGAGACCCACAGACTCACACAGAGACCCACAGACCCACCACACAGACACCCACAGACTCACACAGAGACCCACAGACTCACCACACAGAGACCCACAGCCTCACACAGAGACCCACAGAGACTCACACAGAGACCCACAGACTCACACAAAGACCCACAGAGACTCACACAGAGACCCACAGAGACTCACATTGCTTCTCTTCTTTGTTTTTTTGCCGGGATGGTGTGGTCGCGAGCAGTGTACATTACACATAGTGTAGTGTATAGTGTAGTGTGTAGTGTAGCCTATGGTGCAGTGTGTAGTGTAGTGTGTAGTGTAGTGTATAGTGTAGTGTATAGTGTAGTGTATAGTGTAGCCTATGGTGCAGTAAAGCAACTAACGATTGAACGGACGAATCTCGCGGCACCACCGCGTGTCCACCCTCCCCCCCTGCCCCCCCCCCGCCCCCCCTGCCCCCCCCCGCCCCCCACAGGGCTTGAAGGTGATCGACCTGCAGGCGACGGACCTCGTGCACACCCTGGGGGCGGCCGTGCAGCTGGGCTCCCCGGTGCTGCTGCAGAACGTGCAGGAGCAGCTTGACCCCTCGCTGGCGCCCATCCTCAGCCGCTCCGTCACGCACGTCGGTACGTGGTGGTGGGGGGGGGGGTGGTGGGGGGGGGTGGTGGTGGTGGGGGGGGGTGGTGGTGGTGGGGGGGTGGTGGTGGGGGGGGTTGGTGGGGGGGCGGGAGGAACCGCTGTCGCTGCACGGTGCCCGTGGTGGGTGGAAGGGGCTGTGGCCTCCGGTTCTGTGGGGACGGTAACCCCCCCCCCTCTCCCCCCCCTACCCCCCCCCTACCCCTGCCCCTACTCCCCCCTACCCCCCCTACTCCCCCTACCCCCGCCCCCTTCTCCCCCTTCTCCCCCTTCTCCCCCTCCTCTCCCCCCCACCACCCCATACCCCATCCTCTCCCTCCCACCTTTTCCTCCTCCCTCCCCCCACCCCTCCTCCCCCACACCCCCTACACTCCCCCCCAACCCCCCCTCCTCCCCCCTTCTCTCTCCCCCCCCCCCACACCACCCTCTGGTGCTGGTGGTGGCTGTGGTGATCGCGGTGGCGGTCGTGGATGCGGTGATACGTGGTGGTGGTGGTGGTGGTGGTTGTGGTGATTGCTGGTGGTGATGATCGTGGTGGTGATTTTGGTGGCGGTGATCGTGGCGGTGACCCGTGACAGCCGGCCGTGCCGTGATCAAGCTGGGCGAGCAGGAGCTCGACTACAACCCCGACTTCCGTCTCTACATCACCACCAAGCTGTCCAACCCTCACTACCCCCCCGAGGTCTCCACCAAGACCACCATCGTCAACTTCGCCGTCAAGGAGCAGGTGAAGGGAGTCATAGTTAGTTTCATAGTTCATAGTTTCATTTATTTTGGTACAGCCCTGTGAGCCATTCGGCTCTTGAATCGGAGTGCAACCGCAACAAACAAACAAAAAACATGAACAAGAAAACAGCTTAAAGTGACTTTGTGTGTGACTGTGCAAAACAGAAAAATACAGGAGGAAAAAAAACATCAAAATATTCCTGAAATAGCACCGTACACCACCAACGCTTTGTGCAAAAATCCCAGTGGGATGCAAGTCAAAATAACAACAACAACAACCACAAGACAACTAAGATTAAGGCCATCAGTCTAACTCCGTACTACAATAAACAAAAACATGGCCAAAACAACAAAAAACGTTTTCGAAATCACCAAAATAAAAGTGGAGGCACGTTGGCAGCAGCCGCTGCAGCCGCCCGGGACCCCTCGCGTCGGAGGGACGATGGAGTGCTACCACTCACCGGCAGCTCGCACGGAGACCCGTAGACTCACACAGAGACCCACAGACTCACGCAGAGACTCACAGACTCACGCAGAGACTCGTAGACTTACACAGAGACCCGTAGACTCACACAGAGACTCACAGACTCACGCAGAGACCCGTAGACGCACACAGAGACTCACAGACTCACGCAGAGACTCACAGACTCACACAGAGACTCACAGACTCACGCAGAGACTCGTAGACGCACACAGAGACTCATAGACTCACACAGAGACCCGTAGACCCACACAGAGACTCAGAGACTCACACAGAGACTCATAGACTCACACAGAGACTCACAGACTCACGCAGAGACTCGTAGACTTACACAGAGACCCGTAGACTCACACAGAGACCCACAGACTCACGCAGAGACTCACAGACTCACGCAGAGACTCGTAGACTCACACAGAGACTCGTAGACTCACACAGAGACCCACAGACTCACACAGAGACTCATAGACTCACACAGAGACCCGTAGACTCACACAGAGACCCACAGACTCACGCAGAGACCCACAGACTCACACAGAGACTCATAGACTCACACAGAGACTCGTAGACTCACACAGAGACTCGTAGACTCACAGAGAGACTCGTAGACTCACACAGAGACTCATAGACTCACACAAAGACTCACAGACTCACATAGAGACTCACAGACTCACGCAGAGACCCGTAGACTCACACAGAGACCCACAGACTCACGCATAGACTCACAGACTCACACACAGACCCAAAGACTCACGCAGAGACTCACAGACTCACGCAGAGACTCGTAGACGCACACAGAGACTCATAGACTCACGCATAGACTCATAGACTCACGCAGAGACCCATAGACTCACACAAAGACTCACATAGAGACTCACAGACTCACGCAGAGACTCGTAGACTCACAGAGACCCGTAGACTTACACAGAGACTCATAGACTCACACAGAGACTCACAGACTCACGCAGAGACTCACAGACTCACAGAGAGACCCGTAGACTCACACAGAGACTCACAGACTCACACAGAGACTCACAGACTCACGCAGAGACCCGTAGACTCACACAGAGACTCACAGACTCACTCAGAGACTCACAGACTCGCGCAGAGACTCGTAGACTCACACAGAGACTCGTAGACTCACACAGAGACCCACAGACTCACACAGAGACCAATATACTCACCAGACAGAGACCCACAGACTCATCACACAGAGAACCACAGACTCACACAAAGGCCCAAAGACTCACATATATACCCATCGACTCATCACACAGAGACCCACAGACTCATCACACAGAGACCCGTAGACTCACAGAGAGCTCCATAGACTCACACAGAGACTCGTAGACTCACACAGAGACTCACAGACTCACACAGAGACTCACAGACTCACGCAGAGACCCGTAGACTCACGCAGAGACTCGTAGACTCACGCAGAGACTCGTAGACTCACACAGAGACCCGTAGACCCACACAGAGACTCACAGACTCACAGAGAGACGCACAGACTCACGCAGAGACTCACAGACTCACGCAGAGACCCGTAGACTCACACAGAGACTCACAGACTCACAGAGAGACTCACAGACTCACGCAGAGACTCGTAGACTCACACAGAGTCTCATAGACTCACGCAGAGATTCATAGACTCACACAGAGACCCACAGACTCACACAGAGACCCGTAGACTCACGCAGAGACTCATAGACTCACACAGAGACTCATAGACTCACAGAGACTCATAGACTCACACAGAGACTCACAGACTCACACAGAGACTCACAGACTCACAGAGAGACCCGTAGACTCACACAGAGACCCGTAGACTCACACAGAGACTCACAGACTCACACAGAGACTCATAGACTCACGCAGAGACTCATAGACTCACAGAGACCCACAGACTCACACAGAGACCCGTAGACTCACACAGAGACCCGTAGACTCACAGAGACCCGTAGACTCACACAGAGACTCGTAGACTCACACAGAGACCCACAGACTCACAGAGCGACCCGTAGACTCACACAGTGACCCATAGACTCACACAGAGACCCACAGACTCACAGAGAGACCTGTAGACTCACACAGAGACCCGTAGACTCACACAGAGACCCACAGACTCACGCAGAGACTCACACAGAGACTCACAGACTCACGCAGAGACTCGTAGACTCACGCAGAGACTCACAGACTCACGCATAGACTCATAGACTCACACAGAGACTCGTAGACTCACACAGAGACTCGTAGACTCACACAGAGACTCAGACTCACGCAGAGATTCATAGACTCACACAGAGACCCACAGACTCACACAGAGACCCGTAGACTCACAGAGACCCGTAGACTCACACAGAGACTCAAAGACTCACACAGAGACTCACAGACTCACACAGAGACTCACAGACTCACACAGAGACCCGTAGACTCACACAGAGACTCACAGACTCACATAGAGACCCACAGACTCACGCAGAGACTCGTAGACTCACACAGAGACTCGTAGACTCACACAGAGACCCACAGACTCACACAGAGACCTGTAGACTCACAGAGACACATAGACTCACACAGAGACCCACAGACTCACGCAGAGACCCACAGACTCACGCAGAGCCTCATAGACTCACAGAGAGACCCATAGACTCACACAGATACTCATAGACTCACAGAGAGCCCCACAGACTCACGCAGAGACCCGTAGACTCACGCAGAGACCCACAGACTCACACAGAGACTCACAGACTCACGCAGAGACCCGTAGACTCACACAGAGACTCACAGACTCACACAGAGACTCACAGACTCACGCAGAGACTCGTAGACTCACACAGAGACTCATAGACTCACGCAGAGACTCACAGACTCACACAGAGACTCGTAGACTCACACAGAGACCCACAGACTCACACAGAGACCTGTAGACTCACAGAGACCCACAGACTCACACAGAGTCCCGTAGACTCACACAGAGACTCATAGACTCACAGAGAGTCCCGCAGACTCACAGAGACCCACAGACTCACACAGAGACCTGTCGACTCACAGAGACCCACAGACTCACACAGAGACTCACAGACTCACGCAGAGACTCGTAGACTCACACAGAGACTCATAGACTCACGCAGAGACTCACAGACTCACACAGAGACTCACAGACTCACGCAGAGACTCGTAGACTCACACAGAGACCCATAGACTCACACAGAGACTCACAGACTCACACAGAGACTCAAAGACTCACACAGAGACCCATAGACTCACACAGAGACCCATAAACTCACACAGAGACCCACAGACTCACCCAGAGACCCACAGACTCACGCAGAGACTCATAGACTCACGCAGAGATTCATAGACTCACACAGAGACCCACAGACTCACACAGAGACCCGTAGACTCACAGAGACCCGTAGACTCACACAGAGACTCGTAGACTCACACAGAGACCCGTAGACTCACACAGATACTCGTAGACTCACACAGAGACTCGTAGACTCACACAGAGACCCACAGACTCACACAGATACCTGCAGACTCACAGAGACCCACAGACTCACGCAGAGACTCGTAGACTCACACAGAGGCCCATAGACTCACGTAGAGACCCGTAGACTCACGCAGAGACCCACAGACTCACACAGAGACCTGTAGACTCACAGAGACCCGTAGACTCACACAGAGACTCACAGACTCACACAGAGACTCATAGACTCACAGAGAGGCCCATAGACTCACACAGAGACGCATAGACTCACAGAGACCCACAGACTCACAGAGACCCACAGACTCACACAGAGTCCCGTAGACTCACACAGAGACTCATAGACTCACAGAGAGACCCATAGACTCACAGAGACCCACAGACTCACACAGAGACCTGTACACTCACAGAGACCCACAGACTCGCACAGAGACCCATAGACTCACGCAGAGACTCATAGACTCACACAAAGACCCACAGACTCACGCAGAGACTCGTAGACTCACACAGAGACTCGTAGACTCACAGAGAGACCCATAGAGTCATATAGACTCGCCGATCCACACAGAGACCTGTAAGACTCACACAGAGACCCATAGACTCACCACACAGAGACCCACAGACTCACCACACAGACACCCACAGACTCACCACACAGAGACCCACAGACTCACCACACAGACACCCACAGACTCACCACACAGACACCCACAGACTCACCACACAGAGACCCATAGACTCACCACACAGAGACCATAGACTCACACAGAGACCCGTAGACTCACACAGAGACCCACAGACTCACACAGAGACCCACAGACTCACACAGATACCCATAGACTCACACAGAGACCCATAGACTCACACAGAGACTCACATACTCACATAGAGACCCATACACTCACACAGAGACCCACAGACTCATCACACAGAGACCCATAGACTCACATAGAGACCCACAGAGTCCACAGAGACCCATAGACTCACCAGATGGAGACCCATAGACTCACCACACAGACGACCCGTAGACTCACCACACAGAGACCCATAGACTACTCACACAGAGACCCATAGACTACTCACAGAGAGACCCATAAACTACTTACACAGAGACCCATAGACTCATCACAGAGACCCATAGACTCACCACACAGAGACCCATAGACTCACCACACGGAGACCCATAGACTACTCACACAGAGACCCATAAACTACTTACACAGAGACCCATAGACGCATCACAGAGACCCATAGACTCACCACACAGAGACCCATAGACTCACCACACGGAAACGCATAGACTCACCACGCAGAGACCCATAGACTCACCGCACGAATACGCATAGACTCACCACGCAGAGACCCATAAACTCACCAGATGGCGACCTATAGACTCACCACACAGAGACCCATAGACTCACCACACAGAGACCCATAGACTCACCACACAGAGACCGATAGACTCACCACACAGAGACCCACAGACTCATCACACAGAGACCCACAGACTCACACACAGAGACCCATAGACTCACCACACAGATACCCATAGACTCACCACACAGAGACCCATAGACTCACCACACAGAGACCCATAGACTCACACAGAGACCCAGACTCACCACACAGAGACCCATAGACTCACCACACAGATACCCATAGACTCACCACACAGAGAGCCATAGACTCACCACACGGAGACGCATAGACTCACCACACAGATACCCATAGACTCACCACACAGAGAGCCATAGACTCACCACACGGAGACGCATAGACTCACCACACAGATACCCATAGACTCACCACGCAGAGACCCATAGACTCACCAGATGGCGACCTATAGACTCACCACACAGAGACCCATAGACTCACCACACAGAGACCCATAGACTCACCACACAGAGACCGATAGACTCACCACACAGAGACCCACAGACTCACCACACAGAGACCCATAGACTCACCACACAGATACCCATAGACTCACCACACAGAGACCCATAGACTCACCACACAGAGTCCCATAGACTCACACAGAGACCCAGACTCACCACACAGAGACCCATAGACTCACCACACAGATACCCATAGACTCACCACACAGATACCCATAGACTCACCACACAGAGACCCATAGACTCACCACACAGAGACCCATAGACTCACCACACAGAGACCCATAGACTCACCACACAGAGACCCATAGACTCACCACACAGAGACCCACAGATTCATCACACAGAGACCCACAGACTCACACACAGAGACCCATAGACTCACCACACAGATACCCATAGACTCATCACACAGAGACCCATAGACTCACTACACAGAGACCCATAGACTCACCACGCAGAGACCCACAGACTCACCACACAGAGTCCCATAGACTCACCACACAGAGACCCATAGACTCACCACACAGAGACCCATAGACTCACCACACAGAGACCCATTGACTCACCACGCGGAGACCCATAGACTCACCACACAGATACCCATAGACTCACCACACGGAGACGCATAGACTCAGCACACGGAGATGTATAGACTCACCACACACAGACCCACAGACTCACCACACAGAGAGCCATAGACTCACCACACAGAGACCCATAGACTCACCACGCAGAGACCCATAGACTCACCACACAGAGACCGATAGACTCACCACACAGAGACCCACAGACTCACCACACAGAGACCGATAGACTCACCACGCGGAGACCCACAGACTCACCACACAGAGACCCACAGACTCACACACAGAGACCCATAGACTCACCACACAGAGACCCACAGACTCACCACACAGATACCCACAGACTCACCACGCGGAGACCCACAGACTCACCACACAGAGACCCATAGACTCACCACGCAGAGACCCATAGACTCACCACACAGATACCCATAGACTCACCACACAGAGACCCATTGACTCACCACGCAGAGACCCATAGACTCACCACACAGAGACCGATAGACTCACCACACAGAGACCCACAGACTCACCACACAGAGACCCATTGACTCACCACGCGGAGACCCATAGACTCACCACACAGATACCCATAGACTCACCACAAGGAGACGCATAGACTCAGTACACGGAGATGTATAGACTCACCACAGAGACCCACAGACTCACCACACAGAGACCCACAGACTCATCACACAGAGACCCACAGACTTGTTACAATGATACCCACAGAGTCACCACACAGAGACCCATAGACTCTCATAGACACCCATAGACTCACCACACAGAGACCCACAGACTCACCGCACACCCCCTCCCCTCCTCCCCACATGTGTGCCGTGTCGCGACCCAGGGCCTCGAGGCTCAGCTGCTGGCCATCGTGGTCCGGCGCGAGAAGCCGGATCTCGAGGAGCAGAAGGACTCGCTGGTGCTAGCCATCGCCGCCGGGAAGAGCAAGCTACAGGAGTTGGAGGACGAGATCCTGCGGTGAGGCCCGGGCGAGATGTTGGCCACCTCGCCCCCCCCCCCCCCCCGGTTGTACAGGAGAGGGTCGTGCGCTCGATCCCGGCAAACCTGACGACGTCCGTCATTGGGTTTCAGAAGTTTACGATTTTTAAAATAAGAGATCCCGGGGAACTCGTGTGCTTGCGACATGAGTTAGACCCCAGAGGGGTCTGTTCGTAAGTCGATTTGTCCGTAAGTCGATTTGATCGTAAGTCGATTTGTCCATAAGTCGATTTGATCGTAAGTTGATCTGTCCATCAGTCGATTTGATCATAAGTCGATTTTTCCGTAAGGAGATTTGATCGTGAGTCGATTTGTCCATAAGTCGATTTGATCGTAAGTCGATTTGTCCAAAAGTCGATTTGTCCATAAGTCGATTTGTCCGTAAGTCGATTTGATCATAAGTCGATTTGTCCATAAGTCGATTTGATCGTAAGTTGATCTGTCCATCAGTCGATTTGATCATAAGTCGATTTTTCCGTAAGGAGATTTGATCGTGAGTCGATTTGTCCATAAGTCGATTTGATCGTAAGTCGATTTGTCCAAAAGTCGATTTGTCCATAAGTCGATTTGTCCATAAGTCGATTTGATCGTAAGTCGATTTGTCCATAAGTCGATTTGATCGTAAGTCGATTTGTACAAAAGTCGATTTGATCGAAAGTCGATTTGATCGTAAGTCGATTTGTCCATAAGTCGATTTGTCCATAAGTCGATTTGATCGTAAGTCGATTTGTCAATAAGTCGATTTGTCCATAAGTCGATTTGATCGTAAGTCGATTTGTCCATAAGTCGATTTGATCGTAAGTTGATTTGATCGTAAGTTGATTTGTCAAAAAGTAGATTTTATCGTAAGTCGATTTGTCCAAAAGTCGATTTGTCCATAAGTCGATTTGATCGTAAGTCGATTTGTCCATAAGTCGATTTGATCGTAAGTTGATTTGATCGTAAGTCGATTTGTCAAAAAGTAGATTTTATCATAAGTCGATTTGTCCAAAAGTCGATTTGTCCATAAGTCGATTTGATCGTAAGTCGATTTGTCCATAAGTCGATTTGATCGTAAGTCGATTTGTCCGTAAGTCGATTTGTCTGTAAGTCGATTTGATCGTAAGTCGATTTGTCCATAAGTCGATTTGTCCATAAGTCGATTTGATCGTAAGTCGATTTGTCCAAAAGTCGATTTGTCCATAAGTCGATTTGATCGTAAGTCGATTTGTCCATAAGTCGATTTGATCGTAAGTTGATTTGATCGTAAGTTGATTTGTCAAAAAGTAGATTTTATCGTAAGTCGATTTGTCCAAAAGTCGATTTGTCCATAAGTCGATTTGATCGTAAGTCGATTTGTCCATAAGTCGATTTGATCGTAAGTTGATTTGATCGTAAGTCGATTTGTCAAAAAGTAGATTTTATCATAAGTCGATTTGTCCAAAAGTCGATTTGTCCATAAGTCGATTTGATCGTAAGTCGATTTGTCCATAAGTCGATTTGATCGTAAGTTGATTTGATCGTAAGTCGATTTGTCAAAAAGTAGATTTTATCGTAAGTTGATCTGTCCATAAGTCGATTTGATCGTAAGTCGATTTGTCTATAAGTCGATTTGTCCATAAGTCGATTTGTCCATAAATCGATTTGATCGTAAGTCGATTTGTTCATAAGTCGATTTGATCGTAGGTCGATTTCTCCCCCTCCATTCTCCCCTCCTCTCCCCACTCTCCCCCCCTTCTCCCCCCCCCCCCCCACTCTCCCATCCCCACCTTCCCTCCTCCACTCCCCCCCCATCCCCTCCCTCCCTTCTCCCCCCACCCTCCACCACCACCACCGCCTCCACCGCCTCCACCTCCACCACCGCCTCCACCGCCTCCACCACCGCCTCCAGGCTGCTGAACGAGTCCCAGGGCTCGCTGCTGGATGACCCGCAGCTCGTGAACGCCCTGCAGGCGTCCAAGGTCACGGCGGGGGAAGTTGCCGAGCAGCTGGCCGTGAGCGAGCACACGGAGGCCAAGATCGACGCCGCTCGCGAGGTCAGCGCTCGCCAACGGGAGAGCTTCTCCGTTCGCGCTCGGAGATGTCGACTGCCTCGCCCGGTGTGCAGGAGGTCGTGGGTTCCATCCCGACCCTGACGACGCCTGCTGCTGCTGTATATTTGGAGTCTGCGTGTCTCTCTCATCATCATCATCATCACGGTGGCTAGGAGATGTTGACTACCTCGCCTGGTACACAGGAGGTCGTGGGTTCCATCCCGACCCTGACAACGCCTGCTGCTGTAGATTTGGAGTGTGCATGTCTCTCTCTCTCTCATCATAATCATCACGGTGGCTCGGAGATGTCAACTGCCATGCCTGGTGTGCAGGAGGTCGTGGGTTCCATCCCTACCCTAGCGATGCCTGCTGCTGCTGTATATTTGGAGTCTGCGTGTCTCTCTCATCATCATCATCATCACGGTGGCTAGGAGATGTTGACTGCCTCGCCTGGTACACAGGAGGTCGTGGGTTCGATCCCGACCCTGACGACGCCTGCTGCTGCTGTATATTTGGAGTCTGCGTGTCTCTCTCTCATCATCATCATCACGGTGGTTAGGAGATGTTGACTACCTCGCCTGGTGCACAGGAGGTCGTGGGTTCCATCCCGACTCTGGCGATGCCTGCTGCTGCTGCTGTATATTTGGAGTTTGCGTCTCTCTCTCTCTCATCATCATCATCACGGTGGCTAGGAGATGTTGACTACCTCGCCTGGTACACAGGAGGTCGTGGGTTCCATCCCGACCCTGACGATGCCTCCTGCTGCTGCTGTATATTTGGAGTCTGCGTCTCTCTCTCTCTCATCATCACGGTGGCTAGGAGATGTTGACTGCCTCGCCTGGTACACAGGAGGTCCGCGGATTCGATCCCGACCCTGGCACTCGCCTGTTGCTGCTGCTGTACATTTGGACTTTGCGTGCCCACGCCGCTGACGAGCCGACCGCAAGGTGCATCCTCATCGTGGTCGTTCTTGTCGTTGCCATTCGCGCGCACGCAGGGATACCGCGCCTGTGCCCAGCGCGCCTCTGTGCTGTTCTTCGTTGTCACCGACATGGGCCGCGTAGACCCTATGTACCAGTTTTCGCTCGCCTCTTACCTGAGCCTCTTCGACCTGAGCATCGAGAAGAGCCAGCGAAGCCCCAAGCTCGAGCAGAGGATCGTGAACCTCAACAGCCATCACACCTACAGCGTCTACCGGTGCTCGCTCGCCCGCTCGCGCTCGCTCGCACGCACGCACGCACGCGCTCACACACTCGCTCACACACACACGCTACACTACCACACACAAACACACACGCTACACTACCACACACAAACACACACGCTACACTACCACACACGCTACACTACCACACACAAACACACACGCTACACTACCGCCACACACACGCTACACTACCACACACACACACACGCTACACTACCACACACAAACACACACGCTACACTACCACACACAAACACACACGCTACACTACCACACACAAACACACACGCTACACTACCACACACACAAACACACGCTACACTACCACACACACAAACACACGCTACACTACCACACACAAACACACACGCTACACTACCACACACAAACACACACGCTACACTACCGCCACACACACGCTACACTACCACACACACACACACACGCTACACTACCACACACAAACACACACGCTACACTACCACACACAAACACACACTACACTACCACACACAAACACGCTACACTACCACACACACACACACACGCTACACTACCACACACACACGCTACACTACCACACACACACACGCTAGATTACCACACACACGCTACACTACCACACACACGCACACGCTACACTACCACACACACGCTACACTACCACACACACACACGCTACACTACCACACACACGCTACACTACCACACACACGCTACACTACCACACACACACACACACGCTACACTACCACACACACGCTACACTACCACACACACACACACGCTACACTACCACACACACACACACACGCTAAACTACCACAAACACACACGCTACACTACGACACACACATGCTACACTACCACACACACGCTACACTACCATAAACACACACGCTACACTACGACACACACATGCTACACTACCACACACACGCTACACTACCATAAACACACACGCTACACTACGACACACACACGCTACACTACCACACACACACACGCTACACTACCACACACAAACACACACGCTACACTACCACACACACACACGCTACACTACGACACACACACGCTACACTACCACACACACGCTACACTACCACAAACACACACGCTACACTACCACAAACACACACGCTACACTACGACACACACACGCTACACTACCACACACACGCTACACTACCACAAACACACACGCTACACTACCGCCACACACACGCTACACTACCACACACACACACGCTACACTACCACACACAAACACACACGCTACACTACCATACACAAACACACACGCTACACTACCACACACAAACACACACGCTACACTACCACACACAAACACACACGCTACACTACCGCCACACACACGCTACACTACCACACACACACACGCTACACTACCACACACAAACACACACGCTACACTACCACACACAAACACACGCTACACTACCGCCACACACACGCTACACTACCACACACATACACGCTACACTACCGCCACACACACACACGCTACACTACCGCCACACACACACACATGCTACACTACCACACACACAAACACACGCTACACTACCACACACACACACACGCTACACTACCACACACACACACGCTACACTACCACACACAAACACACACGCTACACTACCACACACAAACACACACGCTACACTACCACACACACACACGCTACACTACCACACACACACATGCTACACTACCACACACACACGCTACACTACCACACGCTACACTACCACACGCTACACTACCGCCACACACACGCTACACTCCCACACACACACACGCTACAATACCACACACAAACACACACGCTACACTACCACACACAAACACACACGCTACACTACCGCCACACACACGCTACACTACCACACACACACACGCTACACTACCACACACAAACACACACGCTACACTACCACACACACACGCTACACTACCACACACACACACGCTACACTACCACACACACACGCTACACTACCACACACATACACGCTACACTACCACACACATACACGCTACACTACCACACACACACACGCTACACTACCACACACAAACACACACGCTACACTACCACACACAAACACACACGCTACACTACCGCCACACACACACGCTACACTACCACACACACGCTACACTACCACACACACGCTACACTACCACACACAAACACACACTACACTACCACACACACACACACGCTACACTACCACAAACACACACGCTACACTACCACACACACACGCTACACTACCACACACACACGCTACACTACCACACACATACACGCTACACTACCACACACATACACGCTACACTACCACACACATACACGCTACACTACCACACACATACACGCTACACTACCACACACACACACGCTACACTACCACACATACACACTACACTACCACACACAAACACACACTACACTACCACACACACACACACGCTACACTACCACACACACGCACACGCTACACTACCGCCACACACACACTACACTACCACACACATACACGCTACACTACCGCCACACACACACACGCTACACTACCGCCACACACACACACATGCTACACTACCACACACACAAACACACGCTACACTACCACACACACACACACGCTACACTACCACACACACACACGCTACACTACCACACACAAACACACACGCTACACTACCACACACAAACACACACGCTACACTACCACACACACACACGCTACACTACCACACACACACATGCTACACTACCACACACACACGCTACACTACCACACAAACACACACGCTACACTACCACACACACACACGCTACACTACCACACACACACATGCTACACTACCACACACACACGCTACACTACCACACGCTACACTACCACACGCTACACTACCGCCACACACACGCTACACTACCACACACACACACGCTACACTACCACACACAAACACACACGCTACACTACCGCCACACACACGCTACACTACCACACACACACACGCTACACTACCACACACAAACACACACGCTACACTACCACACACACACACGCTACACTACCACACACACACACGCTACACTACCACACACACACGCTACACTACCACACGCTACACTACCACACGCTACACTACCGCCACACACACGCTACACTACCACACACACACACGCTACACTACCACACACAAACACACACGCTACACTACCACACACAAACACACACGCTACACTACCGCCACACACACGCTACACTACCACACACACACACGCTACACTACCACACACAAACACACACGCTACACTACCACACACACACACGCTACACTACCACACACACACACGCTACACTACCACACACACACGCTACACTACCACACACATACACGCTACACTACCACACACATACACGCTACACTACCACACACACACACACACGCTACACTACCACACACAAACACACACGCTACACTACCACACACAAACACACACGCTACACTACCACACACAAACACACACGCTACACTACCACACACACGCTACACTACCACACACACGCTACACTACCACAAACAAACACACACTACACTACCACACACACACACACGCTACACTACCACAAACACACACGCTACACTACCACACACACACGCTACACTACCACACACACACGCTACACTACCACACACATACACGCTACACTACCACACACATACACGCTACACTACCACACACATACACGCTACACTACCACACACATACACGCTACACTACCACACACACACACACGCTACACTACCACACATGCACACTACACTACCACACACAAACACACACTACACTACCACACACACACACACGCTACACTACCACACACACACGCTACACTACCACACACACGCACACGCTACACTACCGCCACACACACACTACACTACCACACACATACACGCTACACTACCGCCACACACACACACGCTACACTACCGCCACACACACACACATGCTACACTACCACACACACAAACACACGCTACACTACCACACACACACACACGCTACACTACCACACACACACACGCTACACTACCACACACAAACACACACGCTACACTACCACACACAAACACACACGCTACACTACCACACACACACACGCTACACTACCACACACACATGCTATACTACCACACACACACGCTACACTACCACACAAACACACACGCTACACTACCACACACACACACGCTACACTACCACACACACACATGCTACACTACCACACACACACGCTACACTACCACACGCTACACTACCACACGCTACACTACCGCCACACACACGCTACACTACCACACACACACACGCTACACTACCACACACAAACACACACACTACACTACCACACACAAACACACACGCTACACTACCGCCACACACACGCTACACTACCACACACACACACGCTACACTACCACACACAAACACACACGCTACACTACCACACACACACACGCTACACTACCACACACACACACGCTACACTACCACACACACACGCTACACTACCACACACACACACGCTACACTACCACACACATACACGCTACACTACCACACACACACACACACGCTACACTACCACACACAAACACACACGCTACACTACCACACACAAACACACACGCTACACTACCGCCACACACACACGCTACACTACCACACACACGCTACACTACCACACACACGCTACACTACCACACACAAACACACACTACACTACCACACACACACACACGCTACACTACCACAAACACACACGCTACACTACCACACACACACGCTACACTACCACACACATACACGCTACACTACCACACACATACACGCTACACTACCACACACATACACGCTACACTACCACACACACACGCTACACTAACACACACACACACGCTACACTACCACACACAAACACACACTACACTACCACACACAAACACACACTACACTACCACACACACACACACGCTACACTACCACACACACGCACACGCTACACTACCGCCACACACACACGCTACACTACCGCCACACACACACGCTACACTACCGCCACACACACACGCTACACTACCACATACACGCTACACTACCACACACAAATGCTACACTACCACACACACGCTACACTACCACACACACACACGCTACACTACCACAAACACACACGCTACACTACCACAAACACACACACTACACTACCACACACACACGCTACACTACCACACACACACGCTACACTACCACACACATAAACACACACGCTACACTACCGCCACACACAAACACACACGCTACACTACCACACACACACACACGCTACACTACCACACACACGCTACACTACCACACACACACACACGCTACACTACCACACACACACACACGCTACACTACCACACACACACACACGCTACACTACCACAAACACACACGCTACACTACGACACACACATGCTACACTACCACACACACGCTACACTACCACACACACGCTACACTACCACACACACACATGCTACACTACCACACACACATGCTACACTACCACAAACACACACGCTACACTACCACACACACACGCTACACTACCACACACACGCTACACTACCACACACACAAACACACACGCTACACTACCACCACACACACACGCTACACTACCACACACAAACACACACGCTACACTACTACACACGCTACACTACCACACACGCTACACTACCGCCACACACACGCTACACTACCACACACGCTACACTACCACACACACACACACACGCTACACTACCACACACACACACACGCTACACTACCACACACACACACACGCTACACTACCACACACACACGCGCGCGCGCGATGTGCTCACCCGCCGAGTTTGCCCGCGTGCCAGGTCCACGTGCCGCGGCCTGTTTGACCGCCACAAGCTGCTCTTCAGCTTCCACATGTGTGCCAAGATCCTGCAGGCAGCCGGCAAGCTCCACCACGAGGAATACGCCTTCTTCCTGCGTGGTGGAGTGGTGAGTGTCACACCAACCCACCCACCGTCGCCCACCCGACGGCATCGCCCGCACCCTCACCGGCCACCCGCCCCTGCCACCACCAGGTGCTGGACCGCGAGGGCCAGATGGACAATCCGTGCCCGGAGTGGCTCGCCGACTCGGAGTGGGACAACGTGACGGAGCTGGACAAGCTGGCGAGCTTCCACGGCATCATGGCCTCGTTCGAACAGCAGCCGCGTGGCTGGCACACGTGGTGCACGGCCGCCCAGCCCGAGGGGACGCCTCTGCCAGGTGCCGCTCGCCCGGCCGCTCGCTCGGCCGCTCGCTCAGCCGCTCGCTCGGCCGCCCGCCCGCTCACCCACTCCCTCGTCCACCCGCCGGCCCGACCACTCCCTTGTCCACCCGCCCACTGCCTCGCTCGCCCACTCCCACGCTCGTTCTCTCGCTCGCTCCCTCCCGCCCACCGAGCGATGCGAGTCTGTCTCCCCCCCCACCGAGCGAGGCTCCCCCCCCCCCCACCGAGTCTCCCCCCACCAAGCGAGTCTGTCTCCCCCCCCCCCCCCCCCACCAAGCGAGTCTCCCCCCCACCAACGAGTCTCCCCCCCACCAACGAGACTACCCCCCACCAACGAGTCTCCCCCCCCCACCAAGTCTCCCCCCACCAAGCGAATCTCCCCCCCACCAAGCGAGTCTCCCCCCTCCACCAAGCGAGTCTCCCCCCTCCACCAAGTCTCCCCCCACCAAGCGAATCTCCCCTCCACCAAGCGAGTCTCCCCCCCACCAAGCGAGTCTCCCCCCCACCAAGCGAGTCTCCCCCCCACCAAGCGAATCTCCCCCCCACCAAGCGAGTCTCCCCCCCACCAAACGAGTCTCCCCCCCACCAACGAGTCTCCCCCCACCGAGCGAGTCTCCCCCCCACCAAGCGACTCTCCCCTCCACCAAGCGACTCTCCACCCCCCCCCCCCCACCAAGCGAGTCTCCCCCCCCCCCCACCAAGCGAGTCTCCCCCCCCCCACCGAGTCTCCCCCCACCACCGAGTCTCCCCCCCACCAAGCGAGACTCCCCCCCCCCACCAACGAGTCCCCCCCCACCACCGAGTCTCCCCCCCACTGAGCGAGTCTCCCCCCACCACCGAGTCTCCCCCCCACCAAGCGACTCTCCCCTCCACCGAGCGAGACTCCCCCCCCCCCCCACCAACGAGTCCCCCCCCCACCACCGAGTCTCCCCTCCACCAAGCGACTCTCCCCCCCACCGAGCGAGTCTCCCCCCCCCCCACCAAGTCTCCCCCCACCAAGCGAGTCTCCCCCCACCAAGCGACTCTCCCCTCCACCAAGCGAGACTCCCACCCCCCCACCGAGTCTCCCCCCCCACCAAGCGAGTCTCCCCCCACCAAGCGACTCTCCCCCCCACCAAGCGAGACTCCCACCCCCCCACCAAGCGAGTCTCCCCTCCACCAAGCGAGTCTCCCCCCCACCAAGCGAGTCTCCCACCCCCCCACCAAGCGAGTCTCTCCCCACCACCGAGTCTCTCCCCCCCACCACCGAGTCTCCCCCCCACCAAGCGAGTCTCTCCCCCCCACCACCGAGTCTCCCCCCCACCAAGCGAGTCTCTCCCCCCCACCAAGCGAGTCTCCCCTCCGGGCCGTGTGTCCCGCAGGCGAGTGGGAGGACACGTGTGGCGAGCTGCAGCGCATGCTGCGAGTCTCCCCCCCACCAAGCGAGTCTCCCCCCACTAAGCGAGTCTCCCCCCCCACCAAGCGAGTCTCTCCCCACCACCACCGAGTCTCCCCTCCGGGCCGTGTGTCCCGCAGGCGAGTGGGAGGACACGTGTGGCGAGCTGCAGCGCATGCTGCGAGTCTCCCCCCCACCAAGCGAGTCTCCCCCCCACTAAGCGAGTCTCCCCTCCGGGCCGTGTGTCCCGCAGGCGAGTGGGAGGACACGTGTGGCGAGCTGCAGCGCATGCTGCGAGTCTCCCCTCCACCAAGCGAGTCTCCCCCCACCAAGCGAGTCTCCCCCCACCAAGCGAGTCTCCCCCCCACCACCGAGTCTCCCCCCCACCACCACCGAGTCTCTCCCCCCCACTAAGCGAGTCTCCCCCCCGGGCCGTGTGTCCCGCAGGCGAGTGGGAGGACACGTGTGGCGAGCTGCAGCGCATGCTGCTCGTGCGCTCGCTACGGGCGGACCGCGTGCCCGCGTGCGTCACGGCCTTCGTCGTCAACAGCCTCGGGTCAAAGTTCGTGGAGCCGCCCGCGCTCGACTTGAGATCAGTGAGTGGTGGCGCACGTGGGGGGTGGGGGGGGGGGGGTGGGGGGGGGGGTGGTGGGCAGTGTGAGTGTGTGTGTGTGAGCGTGTGAGTGTGTGTGTGAGAGTGTGTGAGTGTGTGTGAGAGAGTGTGAGAGAGTGTGTGTGTGAGAGTGTGTGAGTGTGAGAGTGTGTGTGAGTGTGTGTGAGTGTGTGTGTGAGTGTGTGTGAGAGTGTGTGAGATTGTGTGTGTGTGTGAGAGTGTGTGTGTGTGTGAGAGAGTGTGTGTGAGAGAGTGAGTGTGTGTGAGAGTGTGTGTGAGTGTGTGAGAGTGTGAGTGTGTGAGAGTGTATGTGAGAGAGTGTGTGTGAGTGTGTGAGAGTGTGTGAGAGTGTGAGAGTGTGAGAGTGTGTGAGTGTGTGAGAGTGTGTGAGAGTGTGTGTGAGTGTGTGTGAGAGTGTGTGTGTGTGTGAGAGTGTGTGTGAGAGTGTGTGTGTGAGTGTGTGAGAGTGTGTGTGTGTGGGAGTGTGTGTGTGTGAGTGTGTGTGTGAGTGAGTGTGAGTGTGTGTGAGTGTGTGTGTGAGTGTGTGAGAGTGTGTGTGTGTGAGTGTGTGTGTGAGTGTGTGTGTGAGTGTGTGAGAGTGTGAGTGTGTGAGAGTGTGTGTGTGTGAGAGTGTGTGTGTGTGAGTGTGTGAGAGTGTGTGAGTGTGTGTGAGAGTGTGTGTGTGTGAGAGTGTGTGTGTGTGTGTGAGTGAGTGTGTGAGAGTGTGAGTGTGTGTGAGTGTGTGAGAGAGTGTGTGAGATAGTGTGTGAGTGTGTGAGAGTGTGTGTGAGTGTGTGTGAGAGTGTGAGAGTGTGTGTGAGAGTGTGAGTGAGTTTGAGAGTGTGAGAGTGTGCGTGAGGGTGTGAGAGTGTGCGTGAGGGTGTGAGAGTGTGTGAGTGAGAGTGTGTGAGAGTGTGTGAGAGTGTGTGTGTGTGAGTGTGTGTGAGAGTGTGAGCGTGTGTGAGAGTGTGAGAGTGTGTGTGAGAGTGTGTGTGAGTGTGAGAGTGTGTGTGTGTGAGAAGACAAAGCTTCCCCCCCCCCACCTGCCCACTCACCCACTCACTCACCCGCTCACCCACCCCCCCCCACCCGCCCACCCCCCCCCCACGCACCCACTCACCCCCCCACGCACCCACTCACCCACTCACCCACCCGCCCCCCCACTCACCCGCTCACCCGCTCATCCCACCCCCCACTCACCCCCCCGCCCGCCCACTCACCCACTCACCCCCCCACTCACCCGCTCACCCACCCCCCACGCACCCACTCACCCCCCCACTCACCCACTCACCCCCCCCCCCGCCGTGCCCAGGTGGTGGAGGACTCGACCCCGCGCACTCCGCTCATCTTCGTCCTCTCCCCCGGCGTCGACCCGGCGGGTCTCCTGCAACAGCTTGCGGAGAGCGCGGGCATGGCCACTCGCCTGCACACCCTCTCGCTGGGCCAGGGACAAGCGCCCCTCGCCACTCGCCTCGTCCACGAGGGCATCCGCAAAGGTGCCGGGCCGGCCGGCGGCCGCCAAGGCCAGCGCCGGAGCCTTGGCGTAGGCCGAGAGCGTCGAGGCGGTGGTGGTGGTGGTGGTTGTGGTGGTGATGATCGTGGTGGCGGTGATTTCGGTGGCGGTGACCGTGGTGTGCGATGATGATCCCGGCGAGCGGAAGGGTGGCCCGAAGCCTTCACGGGTACAATCCTAGTGCAGCGTATAGTGCTGGGTGTGTAGTGGTGCAGTGTATAGTGTAGTGTAATGGTAGTGGAGTGTCGTGTCCAGTGCAGTGTACACTATGCGCTACGGAACGTGCCAATTCGTTACCGGTACGGCACCACACCGGTTGCGTGTTGGAGAGCAAAGCCACACACACAGTGACACACACACAACTACACACAGTGACACACACACAGTGACACACACACACAACTACACACAGTGACACACACAGTGACACACACACAACTACACACAGTGACACACACACAACTACACACAGTGACACACACAGTGACACACACACAGTGACACACACACACAACTACACACAGTGACACACACAACTACACACAGTGACACACACAGTGACACACACACACAACTACACACAATGACACACACAGTGACACACACACACAACTACACACAATGACACACACAGTGACACACACAACTACACACAATGACACACACAGTGACACACACAGTGACACACACACAACTACACACAATGACACACACAGTGACACACACAACTACACACAGTGACACACACAGTGACACACACACACAATGACACACACAGTGACACACACAGTGACACACACACAACTACACACAGTGACACACAGTGACACACACACTACATACAGTGACACAGACAGTGACACACACAGTGACACACATAGCTACACAAAGAAAACAAAGATCCCCCGTGTAGCCTTAAGAGACTGTAGGGGCAAGTGCTGTTAGCAAGCACCTATGAAGGCCGGCACGGTGGCACACGAGGGGGTGGGTGGCCAGACGCTACGCCCGGCCGCCTTTGTCTCTCCAGTGGCGATGTTTACTACACACCGCACCAGGTACTCATTTGAGGCTGAGTCGACCTAGGAGAGGCCCAGAACCGGTTCAGATAATCGTCACTGATGTTGGCCGTGAGCAGGAATCAAACCCGTGTCACCGCTAACCGCTACACTACCGCTCGCTACTATACAACTACACAACCGCCATTCGCCACTAAGTGGCGGTGACGTCACCACGACGCTTGTGCCAGGCCATGTGCACCCTGAGGCCACGTGAAGTGTCGAACACCCGCTGGCAGGTCACGGGACAGACCCAAGTGCCACGGGTCGACTGAGATGACTGAGATCACTGGCTGATGCACCACCTGTGCCCCCTACAGTGCCAACCTGCTGTGCTTTAGCCACCCGGCGCTCCGCTCTTTGTTGTGAGCGTCGCTCCTCCACCATCCGTTGTTGTTGGAGGGCGACTGCCTCCAACTGCCCAGTAGCATCCTTCACGAGCCTCCTCCACCGAGGCCGATCTAGACGCTGCTGGTACCAGTCATCGGCAATTCCACTCAGCTCCACATCCTCCTGTACCACATCACTCCATCTCTTCTCTAGCCCGTGCCATGCCCGCCTAGCCCCCTCGATCCGGCCGAACAAAAGCTGTTTCGGCATGCGGTGGCTGGGCATGCGGGCTACATGATCCAGCCAACTCAGCCTTGCCTGCCGGAGGAGCTCACCGATGGGACCTTGCCCAGATCTTTCAAGGATTTGTGAGCTCCTCACACAATCCAGCCTGGTTAAATCCAGGATGGATCGTAGGCAGGCCAGCCTAAATGTTTCTAACCGGCGAAGATGTTCCATTAGGGTCACACAGTGACACACACAGTGACACACACACAGTGACACAGTGACACACACACAGTGACACAGTGACACACACACACAGTGACACACACACACAGTGACAGACACACACACAGTGACACACACACAGTGACACACAGTGACACACACAGTGACACACACACAGTGATACACACACAGTTACACACACAGTGACACACACACACAGTGACACACACACACAGTGACACACACACACAGTGACACACACACAGTTACACACACAATGACACATACAGTGACATACACAGTTACACACACACAGTGACACACACACAGTGACACACACACACACAGCGACACACACACAGTGACACACACAGTGACACACACAGTTACACACACACACACAGTGACACACAGATACACACGCAGTTACACACACAGTGACACACACACACACAAGAGGTCACCCTATGACCTCTCCCCCTATGACCCTCCTCCCGCCACCCACCCAGGCCACTGGGTCTACCTGGCCAACTGCCACCTGTCGCTCTCCTGGATGCCGCAGCTGGACAGGCTGGTGGAGCGCCTGCAGGCGGAGGAGGCGACACACGCAGACTTCCGCCTGTGGCTCAGCTCGAGTCCCCACGCGGACTTCCCCGTCTCCGTGCTGCGGGCCGGCATCAAGATGACCACGGAGCCGCCCAAGGTGACACCGCACGCGTGCGTGCGTGTCTCTGTGCGTGTCTCTGTGGGTGCGTGTCTGTGTGTCTCTGTGCGTGTGTGTCTGTGTGTGTCTCTGTGTGGGTGTGTCTCTGTGCGTGTGTCTCTGCGTGTGTCTCTGCGTGTGTGTCTCTGCGTGTGTGTCTCTGTGGGTGTGTGTCTCTGTGAGTGTGTGTCTCTGTATGTGTGTCTCTCTGCGTGTCTCTATGTGTCTCTGTGCGTGTGTCTCTGTGTGTGTCTCTGTGCGTGTGTCTGTGCGAGTGTCTCTGTGCGAGTGTCTCTGTGCGGGTGTGTCTGTGCGGGTGTGTCTCTGTGGGTGTCTCTGTGGGTGTGTCTCTGTGCGTGTGTCTCTGTGCGCGCATCTCTGTGCGTGCGTCTCAGTGCGAGTGTCTCAGTGCGTGTGTCTGTGCGTGTGTCTCTGTGCGTGTCTCTGTGTGTGTCTCTGTGCGTGTCTCTGTGTGTGCGTCTCTGTACGTGTCTCTGTGTGTCTCTGTACGTGTCTCTGTGTGTCTCTGTGCGTGTGTCTCTGTGCGTGTGTCTCTGTGCGTGTGTCTGTGTGTCTCTGTGTCTCTGTGCGTGTCTCTGTGCGTCTGTCTCTGTGCGTGGGGAGCGGTAGCGTAGTGGTTAGCGCTACGCTGCGCTATGAACCTGGCGACCCGGGTTCGATTCCCACTCTCGGCCGATACCGGTGACGATTATCTGAACCGGTCCCGGGCCTCCCCTAGGTCGACTCAGCCTCAAATGAGTACCTGGTGCGATGTGTAAACATTGCCACTAGGGAGACAAAGGCGGTCGGGCGTGGTGCTGGCCACCCACCCCCTCGTGTGCCGTGCCGGCCTTCATAGGTGCTCGCTAACAGCACTTGCCCCTACAGTCTGTTAAGGCTATGAGGGAGATATTTGTCTCTGTATGTGTATCTGTCTTTACATATCTGCGTGTGTCTCTGTGTTTCTCTCTCTACATATGTGTCTCTGTGTCTCTCTCTACACATCTGTGTGTGTCTCTGTGTGTCTCTCGCTACATATCTGTGTGTGTGTCTCTGTGTCTCTCTCTACATATCTGTGTGTGTCTCTGTGTCTCTCTCTACATATGTGTGTGTGCGTCTCTGTCTCTCTCTACATATCTGTGTTGTGTCTCTGTGTGTCTCTCTCTACATATCTGTGTCTCTGTGTGTCTCTCTCTACACATCTGTGTGTCTCTGTGTCTCTCTCTACACATCTGTGTCTCTGTGTGTCTCTCTCTACATGTCTCTCTCTACATATCTGTGTGTGCGTCTCTGTGTCTCTGTACATATCTGTGTGTCTCTCTGTGTCTCTCTCTACACATCTGTATGTGTGTGTGTCCTCTGTGTGTCTCTCTCTACATATCTGTGTGTGCGTCTCTGTGTGTCTCTGTACACATCTGTGTGTCTCTGTGTGTCTCTCTCTACACATCTGTATGTGTGTGCGTCTGTGTGTCTCTCTACACATATCTGTGTGCGTCTCTGTGTCTCTCTCTCTACATATCTGTGTGTGCGTCTCTGTGTCTCTCTCTCTACATATCTGTGTGTGTGCGTCTGTGTGTCTCTCTCTACACATCTGTGTGTCTCTGTGTGTCTCTCTCTACACATCTGTATGTGTGCGTGTCCTCTGTGTCTCTCTCTACACATCTGTATGTGTGCGTGTCCTCTGTGTCTCTCTCTACACATCTGTATGTGTGTGTGTCCTCTGTGTGTCTCTCTCTACATATCTGTGTGTGTGCGTCTCTGTGTGTCTCTCTCTACATATTTGTACGTGTGTGTCTCTGTGTGTCTGCGCGCGTGTGCGTGCGTATCTGCGCGTGTGTGCGTGCGTGTCTGCGCGTGCGTGTGTGCGCGTGTGTGTGCGTGCGTGTGTGTGCGTGTGTGTGCGTGTCTGCGCGTGCGTGCCACCGCAGGGCCTGAGGGCCAACATGACGCGTCTCTACAGCCTGGTGACGGAGCCGCAGTTCTCGTCACGTCCCCAGGCCTACCGGCGCCTCCTCTTCGCGCTCTGCTTCTTCCACAGCCTCCTCGTGGAGCGCCGCAAGTTCCGGCAGCTGGGCTGGAACGTCGTCTACGGATTCAACGACTCCGACTTTGAGGTGCGCGGCTCCTGCTCGTCATCGTCAGCGTCGTCAGCGTCGTCGTCATTGTCGTCGTTGTCGTCATTGTCATCATCGTCGTCATCATCATTGTCGTCGTCGTCATCGTCGTCATCATCATTGTCATCATCGTCGTCATCTTCACCTTCGTCGTCATCATTGTCGTCGTCATCATCATTGTCATCATCGTCGTCGCCGTCATCTTCACCGTCGTCGTCATCATTGTCATCATCGTCGTCATCTTCACCGTCATCGTCGTCGTCATCATCATTGTCACCGTCGTCGTCATCGTCATCTTCACCGTCGTCGTCATCTTCACCGTCATCATCGTCGTCGTCGTCATCATCATTGTCGTCGTCATCGTCATCTTCACCGTCATCGTCGTCATCATCAGTCATCGTCGTCATATTCACCGTCATCATCGTCGTCATCATCATTGTCGTCGTCATCGTCATCTTCACCGTCATCATCGTCGTCGTCGTCATCATTGTCGTCGTCATCGTCATCTTCACCGTCATCGTCGTCACCAAGACAATGCCATCGTCATATATCACGATCAGAGAATGTTTTAGGTGCGGTTAATGCGGAACAGGATTTCCTTCCACCAAGGTTTCCGTTTGGCAGCTCTCTCGACCTGCTTCGGCTTTTCAATTTTTTTATTTTCATTTTTCTCCTGCTGTGGTTGTCCCACCTGATGCAGCTCCCTTGTGTTGCCACCGTCATTTGATTTCCACCCACGTGACCTTTCAGGCGAGAGGGCCATTCACCTCACCTCACCTCGCCGCGGCCCGACGGGAGGTTTTTCCCGCCCGGCGTTTCAAACGTCTCGGCGCTTGTGAACGCCGTTTCACTCGCCTGCGAAGGGGTCAGACCTACGGCTGTACCCTGGCGGGTGGCAAAGGAGAGGGTCCCGGCGTTTTAGAACCTCCTCCTCCATCGTCGTCGTCCGCCAGGTGTCGGAGAGCCTGCTGAGCCTGTACCTGGACGAGTGCGAAGAGGTGCCGTGGGACGCACTGCGCTACCTCGTCGCCAGCATCAGCTACGGAGGGCACGTGACGGACGATTGGGACCGCCGGCTGCTCACCGCTTACATCGGGGGCCTCTTCTGTGAGCAGGCGGTGAGCGCACCCTACTACAGGTGAGCGGGCCCTACTACAGGTGAGCACACCCTACTACAGGTGAGCGGGCCCTACTACAGGTGAGCACACCCTACTACAGGTGAGCACGCCCTACTACAAGTGAGCGGGCCCTACTACAGGTGAGCGCACCCTACTACAGGTGAGCACACCCTACTACAGGTGAGCGGGCCCTACTACAGGTGAGCACGCCCTACTACAGGTGAGCACGCCCTACTACAGGTGAGCGGGCCCTACTACAGGTGAGCACACCCTACTACAGGTGAGCGGGCCCTACTACAGGTGAGCACACCCTACTACAGGTGAGCGGGCCCTACTACAGGTGAGCACACCCTACTACAGGTGAGCACACCCTACTACAGGTGAGCACGCCCTACTACAGGTGAGCGGGCCCTACTACAGGTGAGCGGGCCCTACTACAGGTGAGCGGGCCCTACTACAGGTGAGCACGCCCTACTACAGGTGAGCACGCCCTACTACAGGTGAGCACGCCCTACTACAGGTGAGCACGCCCTACTACAGGTGAGCGGGCCCTACTACAGGTGAGCACACCCTACTACAGGTGAGCACGCCCTACTACAGGTGAGCGCGCCCTACTACAGGTGAGCGGGCCCTACTACAGGTGAGCACACCCTACTACAGGTGAGCGGGCCCTACTACAGGTGAGCACACCCTACTACAGGTGAGCGGGCCCTACTACAGGTGAGCGCGCCCTACTACAGGTGAGCGCACCCTACTACAGGTGAGCGGGCCCTACTACAGGTGAGCACACCCTACTACAGGTGAGCACACCCTACTACAGGTGAGCACGCCCTACTACAGGTGAGCACGCCCTACTACAGGTGAGCACACCCTACTACAGGTGAGCACACCCTACTACAGGTGAGCGGGCCCTACTACAGGTGAGCACACCCTACTACAAGTGAGCACACCCTACTACAGGTGAGCACACCCTACTACAGGTGAGCACACCCTACTACAGGTGAGCACACCCTACTACAGGTGAGCGGGCCCTACTACAGGTGAGCACACCCTACTACAGGTGAGCACGCCCTACTACAGGTGAGCACACCCTACTACAGGTGAGCACACCCTACTACAGGTGAGCACACCCTACTACAGGTGAGCACGCCCTACTACAGGTGAGCACGCCCTACTACAGGTGAGCACACCCTACTACAGGTGAGCGGGCCCTACTACAGGTGAGCACACCCTACTACAGGTGAGCACACCCTACTACAGGTGAGCACACCCTACTACAGGTGAGCGGGCCCTACTACAGGTGAGCACGCCCTACTACAGGTGAGCACGCCCTACTACAGGTGAGCACGCCCTACTACAGGTGAGCACGCCCTACTACAGGTGAGCGGGCCCTACTACAGGTGAGCGCACCCTACTACAGGTGAGCACACCCTACTACAGGTGAGCGGGCCCTACTACAGGTGAGCACACCCTACTACAGGTGAGCGGGCCCTACTACAGGTGAGCGGGCCCTACTACAGGTGAGCACACCCTACTACAGGTGAGCACACCCTACTACAGGTGAGCACACCCTACTACAGGTGAGCACGCCCTACTACAGGTGAGCGGGCCCTACTACAGGTGAGCGCACCCTACTACAGGTGAGCACACCCTACTACAGGTGAGCACGCCCTACTACAGGTGAGCACACCCTACTACAGGTGAGCACACCCTACTACAGGTGAGCACGCCCTACTACAGGTGAGCACACCCTACTACAGGTGAGCACGCCCTACTACAGGTGAGCACGCCCTACTACAGGTGAGCGGGCCCTACTACAGGTGAGCACACCCTACTACAGGTGAGCACACCCTACTACAGGTGAGCGGGCCCTACTACAGGTGAGCACACCCTACTACAGGTGAGCACGCCCTACTACAGGTGAGCGGGCCCTACTACAGGTGAGCACACCCTACTACAGGTGAGCACGCCCTACTACAGGTGAGCGGGCCCTACTACAGGTGAGCACACCCTACTACAGGTGAGCACGCCCTACTACAGGTGAGCACGCCCTACTACAGGTGAGCACACCCTACTACAGGTGAGCAGGCCCTACTACAGGTGAGCACGCCCTACTACAGGTGAGCACGCCCTACTACAGGTGAGCGGGCCCTACTACAGGTGAGCACGCCCTACTACAGGTGAGCACGCCCTACTACAGGTGAGCACACCCTATTACAGGTGAGCGGGCCCTACTACAGGTGAGCACGCCCTACTACAGGTGAGCACGCCCTACTACAGGTGAGCACACCCTACTACAGGTGAGCGGGCCCTACTACAGGTGAGCACACCCTACTACAGGTGAGCACACCCTACTACAGGTGAGCACGCCCTACTACAGGTGAGCACGCCCTACTACAGGTGAGCACACCCTACTACAAGTGAGCACACCCTATTACAGGTGAGCGGGCCCTACTACAGGTGAGCGGGCCCTACTACAGGTGAGCACACCCTATTACAGGTGAGCGGGCCCTACTACAGGTGAGCACACCCTACTACAGGTGAGCACACCCTACTACAGGTGAGCACGCCCTACTACAGGTGAGCACGCCCTACTACAGGTGAGCACACCCTATTACAGGTGAGCACGCCCTACTACAGGTGAGCACGCCCTACTACAGGTGAGCGGGCCCTACTACAGGTGAGCGGGCCCTACTACAGGTGAGCGGGCCCTACTACAGGTGAGCACACCCTACTACAGGTGAGCACACCCTACTACAGGTGAGCAGGCCCTACTACAGGTGAGCACACCCTACTACAGGTGAGCGGGCCCTACTACAGGTGAGCGGGCGACGTGGGCGGCCGCCGCCGCCATCGTCACCGTCACCGCCATGAACGCCACCATCGCCACCGTCACCGCCATCGTCACCGTCACCGCCATCGCCATGAACGCCACCATCGCCATCGTCACCGCCATCGCCATGACCACCATCGTCACCGCCACCGCCATGAACACCACCATCACCATCGTCACCGCCATCGTCACCACCATCACCATCGTCACCGCCATCGTCACCACCATCGCCATGACCACCATCGCCACCGTCATGAACACCACCATCACCATCGCAACCTCCGCTGTCACCGCTGCCATCATCACCGCCACCATCATCACCGCCATCACAATCTCCACTGTCACCGCCACTATCACCACCACCACTATCACCACCATCACCATCACAACCTCCACTGTCACCGCCACCGCCGCTACCACGTGCCGCGCGACGGCGACAGTATCGGTGACGGTGTCGGTATCGGTGTCGGTGTCGGCGACGGTGACGGCATCGGTGGCGGTGACGGTATCGGTGTCGGTGACGGTATCGGTGACGATGAGGGTATCGGTGACGGTATCGGTGACGACGGTATCGGTGACGGTGTCGGTGACGATGACGGTATCGGTGACGGCGACGGTATCGGTGACGGCGACGGTATCGGTGACGGCGACGGTATCGGTGACGGTGTCGGTGACGATGACGGTATCGGTGACGGTGTCGGTGACGATGACGGTATCGGTGACGGTGTCGGTGACGACGGTATCGGTGACGGTATCGGTGACGGTATCGGTGACGGTATCGGCGACGGTATCGGTGACGGCGTCGCCCGCAGGCTGTCGTCGCTGGAGTCGTACTACGTGCCGCGCGACGGGCCCCTGCCGGCGTACCGCGACTTTGCGGCGCTGCTCCCGCACGCCGACCACGCCGAGGCGTTTGGCCAGCACCCCAACGCGGACGTGGCCGGCCAGGCGGCCGAGACGCGCGCCCTGCTCGGCACGCTGCTCGGCCTGCAGCCGGGAGCCGGCGACCCCTCCGGCGACCCCTCCGGCGATGCCGACGCCGACGCCGTGCACGGCCAGCGTGCCGGGGAGGCGGTGTTGTCGCGCGAGGACAAGGTGCTCACGCAGCTACACCGCTCACAGCAGTGGGGCGAGCGTGTGTTGTGTGTGTGTTGAGTGTGTGTTGAGTGTGTGTTGAGTGTGTGTTGAGTGTGTGTTGAGTGTGTGTTGAGTGTGTGTTGAGTGTGTGTTGAGTGTGTGTTGAGTGTGTGTTGAGTGCGTGTTGAGTGCGTGTTGAGTGTGTGTTGAGTGTGTGTTGTGTGTTGTGTGCTGAGTGTGTTGAGTGTGTGCTGTGTTGAGTGTGTGTGTTGAGTGTGTGTTGAGTGTGTGTTGAGTGTGTGCTGAGTGAGTGTTGAGTGTGTGCTGAGTGCGTGCTGAGTGCGTGCTGAGTGCGTGTTGAGTGCGTGTTGAGTGAGTGTTGAGTGTGTGCTGAGTGTGTGCTGAGTGTGTGTTGCGTGCGTGTTGAGTGCGTGTTGCGTGCGTGTTGAGTGCGTGTTGAGTGTGTGTTGAGTGTGTGTTGAGTGCGTGTTGAGTGCGTGTTGAGTGTGTGTTGAGTGTGTGCTGAGTGCGTGTTGAGTGTGTGTTGAGTGTGTGCTGAGTGTGTGCTGAGTGTGTGTTGAGTGCGTGTGTTGAGTGTGTGTTGAGTGTGTGTTGTGTGTTGAGTGTGTGTTGAGTGTGTGTTGAGTGTGTGTTGAGTGTGTGTTGAGTGTGTGTTGAGTGTGTGCTGAGTGTGTGTTGAGTGTGTGTGTTGAGTGTGTGTGTTGAGTGTGTGTGTTGAGTGTGTGTGTTGAGTGTGTGTGTTGAGTGTGTGTGTTGAGTGTGTGTGTTGAGTGTGTGTGTTGAGTGTGTGTTGAGTGTGTGTTGTGTGTGTGTTGTGTGTTGAGTGTGTGTTGAGTGTGTGCTGAGTGTGTGTTGAGTGTGTGTTGAGTGCGTGCTGAGTGCGTGCTGAGTGCGTGTTGAGTGTGTGCTGAGTGCGTGTTGAGTGCGTGTTGAGTGTGTGCTGAGTGCGTGTTGAGTGCGTGTTGAGTGTGTGTGTTGAGTGTGTGTGTTGAGTGTGTGTTGAGTGTGTTGAGTGTGTGTGTTGAGTGCGTGTTGAGTGTGTGTTGAGTGCGTGTTGAGTGCGTGTTGAGTGCGTGTTGAGTGCGTGTTGAGTGCGTGCTGAGTGCGTGTTGAGTGTGTGTTGAGTGCGTGTTGAGTGCGTGTTGAGTGCGTGTTGAGTGTGTGCTGAGTGTGTGTTGAGTGTGTGCTGAGTGTGTGCTGAGTGTGTGTTGAGTGTGTGTTGAGTGTGTGTTGAGTGCGTGTTGAGTGTGTGCTGAGTGCGTGTTGAGTGTGTGCTGTGTGTGTGCTGAGTGTGTGTTGAGTGTGTGTTGAGTGTGTGCTGAGTGTGTGTTGAGTGTGTGCTGAGTGTGTGCTGAGTGTGTGCTGAGTGTGTGCTGAGTGTGTGTTGAGTGTGTGTTGAGTGTGTGCTGAGTGTGTGTTGAGTGTGTGTTGAGTGTGTGCTGAGTGTGTGCTGAGTGTGTGTTGAGTGTGTGTTGAGTGTGTGCTGTGTGTGTGTTGAGTGTGTGCTGAGTGTGTGTTGAGTGTTGAGTGCGTGTTGAGTGTGTGTTGAGTGTGCGTGTTGAGTGTGTGTTGAGTGTGTGTGTTGAGTGTGTGTGTTGAGTGTGTGCTGAGTGTGTGTTGAGTGCGTGTTGAGTGCGTGTTGAGTGTGTGTGTTGAGTGTGTGTGTTGAGTGTGTGCTGAGTGTGTGCTGAGTGTGTGCTGAGTGCGTGCTGAGTGCGTGTTGAGTGTGTGCTGAGTGTGTGCTGAGTGTGTGTTGAGTGTGTGTTGAGTGCGTGTTGAGTGCGTGTTGAGTGTGTGTTGAGTGTGTGTTGAGGGCGTGTTGAGTGTGTGTTGAGTGTGTGCTGAGTGTGTGCTGAGTGTGTGCTGAGTGTGTGTTGAGTGTGTGTTGAGTGTGTGTTGAGTGTGTGTTGAGTGCGTGTTGAGTGTGTGTTGAGTGCGTGTTGAGTGCGTGTTGAGTGTGTGTTGAGTGTGTGTTGAGTGTGTGTTGAGTGTGTGTTGAGTGTGTGTTGAGTGTGTGTTGCATGCTGCGTGTGTGCTGTGTGTGTGCTACGTGCTGTGTGTGTGTGCTGTGTGTGTGCTGTGTGTGTGCTGAGTGTGTGTGCTACATGCTGTGTGTGCTGCGTGTGTGCTGCGTGGTGTCTGCTGTGTGTGTGTGCTGTGTGTGTGCTGTGTGTGTGCTGCGTGTCTGCTGTGTGTGTGTGCTGTGTGTGTGCTGTGTGCTGTGTGTGTGCTGTGTGTGTGCTGCGTGTCTGCTGTGTGTGTGCTGTGTGTGTGCTGTGTGTGTGCTGCGTGTCTGCTGTGTGTGTGTGCTGTGTGTGTGCTGTGTGTGTGCTGCGTGTCTGCTGTGTGTGTGTGCTGTGTGTGTGCTGTGTGTGTGCTGCGTGTCTGCTGTGTGTGTGCTGTGTGTGTGCTGTGTGTGTGCTGCGTGTCTGCTGTGTGTGTGCTGTGTGTGTGCTGTGTGCTGTGTGTGTGCTGCGTGTCTGCTGTGTGTGTGTGCTGTGTGTGTGCTGTGTGCTGTGTGTGTGCTGCGTGTCTGCTGTGTGTGTGTGCTGTGTGTGTGCTGTGTGCTGTGTGTGTGCTGCGTGTCTGCTGTGTGTGTGTGCTGTGTGTGTGCTGTGTGCTGAGTGTGCTGCGTGCTATGTGCTGTGTGCTGCGTGTGTGCCGCAGGTGCTGGCGCTGGTGGCGGACGTGGCGCTGCGCGTGTGCTGCGTGTGTGCTGAGTGTGCTGAGTGTGTGCTGCGTGTGTGTGTGCTGCGTGCGTGCTGTGTGCTGCGTGTGTGCTACGTGCTGTGTGCTGCGTGTGTGCTAAGTGCTGTGCTATGTGCTGCGTGTGTGCTATGTGTGCGTGCTGTGTGCTGCGTGTGTGCTGCGTGTGTGCTGAGTGTATGCTGCGTGCTATGTGCTGAGTGTATGCTGTGTGCTATGTGCTGCGTGCTGTGTGCCGCAGGTGCTGGCGCTGGTGGCGGACGTGGCGCTGCGTGTGTGCTGAGTGTGTGCTACGTGTGTGCTGTGTGCTGAGTGTGCTGTGCTACGTGCTGAGTGTATGCTGTGTGCTGTATGCTGCGTGCTGTGTGCTGCGTGTGTGCTGTGTGCTATGTGCTGCGTGCTATGTGCTGCGTGCTATGTGCCGCAGGTGCTGGCGCTGGTGGCGGACGTGGCGCTGCGCATGTGCTGCGTGCTGAGTGTGTGCTGTGTGCTGAGTGTGTGCTGAGTGTGTGTTGAGTGTGTGCTGAGTGTGTGCTGAGTGTGTGCTGCGTGCTGTGTGCTGCGTGCTGTGTGCCGCAGGTGCTGGCGCTGGTGGCGGACGTGGCTCTGCGCGTGCCCCCGCCGCTGGACGTGGAGCGCTGTCGCCGGCAGCTGTCGGACGAAGCCCCCCGCTGGGCTCCACTGGGGGCCGTGCTGCTGCAGGAGATGGGGCGCTACAACGCGCTGCTACACACCGTGCGGTGGGTGGTGGTGTGGTGTGGTGGGTGTGGTGTGGTGGTGTGGTGGTGTGGTGGGTGTGGTGGGTGGGTGTGTGGGTGGGTGGGTGGGTGAGTGGGTGTGTGAGTGGGTGGGTGGGTGTGTGAGTGTGTGAGTGGGTTGGTGTGTGAGTGGGTGGGTGTGTGAGTGGGTGAGTGTGTGGATGAGTGTGTGAGTGGGTGGGTGAGTGGGTGAGTAGGTGTGTGGGTGGGTGGGTGTGTGAGTGTGTGGATGAGTGTGTGGGTGAGTGGGTGAGTGTGTGTGTGTGTGTGGGTGGGTGTGTGAGTGGGTTGGTGTGTGAGTGGGTGGGTGGGTGAGTGTGTGTGTGTGGGTGGGTGTGTGAGTGGGTTGGTGTGTGGGTGGGTGGGTGAGTGTTTGAGTGGGTGTGTGAGTGAGTGGGTGAGTGTGTGGGTGAGTGTATGTGTGGGTGGGTGGTGTGTGGGTGAGTGGGTGTGTGGGTGGGTGAGTGTGTGGATGAGTGTGTGGGTGAGTGGGCAAGTGTGTGGGTGGGTGGGTGAGTGTGTGTGAGTGTGTGGGTGTATGTGAGTGTGTGTGTCTGTGTGAGTGAGTGTGTGTATGTTAGAGTGTGTGGGTGAGTGTGTGTCTGTGTGAGTGTGTGAGTGTGTATGTGTATGTGAGAGTGTGTGAGTGTGTGAGTGAGTGTGTGTGTGTATGTGAGAGTGTGTATGTGAGTGTGTGTGTGTATGTGTGTATGTGAGAGTGTGTATGTGAGAATGTGTGTGAGTGTGTGTGTGAGTGTGAGAGTGTGTATGTGAGAGTGTGTGTGTGTGTATGTGTGAGTATGTGTGTATGTGTATGTGTGTATGTGAGTGTGTATGTGAGTGTGTGTGTGAGAGTGTGTATGTGAGAGTGTGTGTGTGTGTATGTGTGAGTATGTGTGTATGTGTGTGTATGTGTGTATGTGAGTGTGTATGTGAGTGTGTGTGTATGTGAGAGTGTGTGTGTGTGAGTGGGTGTGTATGTGAGAGTGTGTGTATGTGAGTGTGAGTGTATGTGAGTGTGTGTATGTGAGTGTGTGTGTGTGAGTGTATGTGTGAGTGTGTATGTGAGTGTGTATGTCTGTATGTGAGAGTGTGTGTGTGTGTATGTGTGTATGTGTGTGTGAGTGTGTGTGTGAGTATGTGTGTAAGTCTGTATGTGAGAGTGTGTGTGTGTGAGTGGGTGTGCAAGTTGGCACAGTGGGCAGCACAGGTGATCTCAGTCGGTCGACCCGTGGCACCCGCTGGGTCTGCCCCGTGACCTCCTCCTCCTCCTGCCGGCGGGCGGTTCGACACTTCACGTGGCAGCCTCGGCGTGCACCCAGCCTGGCACGGGCACCGTGGTGACGTCACCGCCACTTGTTGTTGCATGTGGTTTAGGTCTAACCCCCCCCCCCGTACCCCATCCAGCTCATCGCTCTCCGACCTGGAGCGGGGGATCCGGGGCCTGGTGGTGATGTCGGCCCACCTCGAGGAGACCTTCAGATGCATCCACGACCTCCGTGTGCCACCCTCCTGGACACGGGTCAGCCCCCCCCCCACTCCCCCGCTGTGTGTGTGTGTGTCTGTGTGTGTGTCTGTGTGTGAGTCTGTGTGTGTGTGTGTGAGAGTGTGTCTGTGTGTGTGAATGTGTCTGTGTGTGTGTGAGAGTGTGTCTGTGTGTGTGTCTGTGTCTGTGTGTGAGAGTGTGTCTGTGTATGTGTGAGAGTGTGTCTGTGTGTGTGAGTCTGTGTGTGTGTGTGAGTCTGTGTGTGTGTGTGAGTCTGTATGTGTGTGAGAGTGTGTCTGTGTGTGTGAGTATGTCTGTGTCTGAGTCAGTGTGTGTGTGAGAGTGTGTCTGTGTGTATGTGTGTGTGTGAGTCTGTGTGTGTGAGTCTGTGTGTGTGAGTCTGTGAGTGTGTGTGTGAGTCTGTGTGTGTGTGAGTCTGTGTGAGAGTGTGTCTGTGTGAGAGTGTGTCTGTGTGAGTCTGTGTGTGTGTGAGTCTGTGTGTGTGTGAGAGTGTGTCTGTGTAAGGGTGTGTGAGTGTGACGTTAGAAGGGAAGCAATAAAATAATAAAAATATAAAACAATAAAATTATTATTCTTGGTTCTTTCGGTAAAGTCACCACCACGTTAGAAGGGAAACAATAAAATAATACAAATATAAAACAATAAAATTCTCACAACGTTTCGACTGCAACACAGGCAGCAATCATCATCAGGTGTGAAAACCACAGCAAGAACAATGTAAAGCATGTTTTAAGCTTCAAATCACTTTAAGCTATTAGTCATTGTAGTTGCGTATTTAATGTGGCGCTGCACTCTGATGTTGTAGGAGAAAATATTTATGAAAAATTTTGATTTAAAGCTTTCGTGACTGCAGGGATTCATATTCTTGGTTCTTTCGGTAAAGTCACCACCACGTTAGAAGGGAAACAATAAAAGAAAAAAAATATAAAACAGTAAAATTCTCACGACGTTTCGACTGCAGCACAAGCAGCAATCATCATCAGGTGTGAAAACCACAGCAAGAACAATTTGAAAAAAGTGGCGTTTTTTTAAATTAACGTTACCACCACGGAGAGCGATTTGGCAGTTTGTTCAGATGGACGAGTCCATCTATGTTCGGAAAAGAGGAGGGGGGGAGAGACGAAAATAATGGATGCGGTCTGAAAGCCACCGTAAGCGTGAACAATCAATTAAGACCCGAAATGGTTTATCAAATCCTTCCAATGATTGCTAAGCCAGAATCCATCTTCTCCGTTGTCTCTGTGTTTGGAAATGTGGATAGCCTCATGAACGAATCTATCATGGTAGCCAGATGGCTTGCAAAGAACCTCCGTCTTGTTTTATATTTTTTTATTATTTTACTGTTGCCCTTCTACGTGGTGGTGACTTTACCGAAAGAACCAAGAATATGAATCCCTGCAGTCACGAAAGCTTTAAATCAGAATTTTTAATAAATGTTTTCTCCTACAACGTCAGAGTGCAGCGCCACATTAAATACGCAACTACAATGACAATAGTTTAAAGCGATTTGAAGAATTTTGATTTAAAGCTTAAAACATGCTTTACATTTGTTCTTGCTGTGGTTTTCACACCTGATGATGATTGCTGCTTGTGCTGCAGTCGAAACGTCGTGAGAATTTTACTGTTTTATATTTTTTTTCTTTTATTGTTTCCCTTCTAACGTGGTGGTGACTTTACCGAAAGAACCAAGAATATGAATCCCTGCAGTCACGAAAGCTTTAAATCAAAAGATCACGTTATGCTTTAGCCATATTTGTTTGTTGTTGTAGTAGTAGTACAGAGTTGGATCGATAACTTTCATCTAAATTGTCTTACGGTCAAATTTTGATTTAAAGCTTTCGTGACTCCAGTGATTAATATTCTTAGCTCTTTCGGTAAAGTCACGTTGAAGGGAGACAATAAAATAATAAATATATATAAACCAATATATTTGTTATTATTTTATTGTTTCCCTTCAACGTGACTTTACCGAAAGAGCTAAGAATGTCTTACGGTTGTTGTTGTTGTTGTCTGACTTGCATCCCACTAGGATTTTAGTTTTTTTTGCACACAGCTGTTGGTGTACGGTGATTTTTTTTTCCGGAACGCTTTGCCTGGTCTTTTTTTCCTGTTTTTCCCGTAGTAGTCGCTTCATAAGACGCTTAGCTTGGTTCACGTTATGAGACCTCATTTGCCAGTAACAAGATATAGTAATCGGCTTTTACCCTTTTATCTGGCACAAAAAACTGACACCTTTGTACAAGGGATCATGCTTGCAATTACCACAACACAAGTAGTCAAAATGCAAACAAAAAAAGACAACTCTGATAATGAGATGCACTGATAATGATATTGGCACTGTCCTTTTGGCGTCTTCTGGTCCAACACCAGTGTGAGACTTAAGGGCTCTAAGAAAAGCCGTCTCTGGTGTTGACCAATCAAATTCGAGGACAGTGCCAATATCATTATCAGAGTTGTCTTTTTTGTTTGTTTGCATTTTTGACTGCTTGTGTTGTGGTTATTGCAAACACGATCCCCCTTGTGTTTGGACGTGTTTGTGTTTGTTGTAGTACGGAGTTAGACTGACGGCCTTAATCTAAAGTTGTCTTGTGGTTGTTGTTGTTGTGGTTGTTGTTTGACTTTGCATCCCACTCGGGATTTTTTTTGCACGCAGCCTTAGTGGTGTACGGTGATTTTTTTTTCCAGGAATATTTTGCTGGTTTTTTTTCTCCATGGATTTTCTGTTTTGCACAAAGTCACCACAACGTAGCCACTTTGAGATTGTTTCTCTTGTTCGTGTTTTTTTGTGTGTTTTTTTCGCGTTCCTGTTTGTTGCGGTCGCGCCCGATTCAAGAGCCCAATGGCTCACGGGGCTATCCCAAAAATAAATAAAACTGAAACTGAAACGCGTCCGACCGCCGTCCGCGGGGGGTGGTGGCGGCGGCGGCGGCGGTGGTGGCGGTGGTGACGGTGGTGGTGGTGGTGATGATGGTGGTGATGGTGGTGGTGGTGATGATGATGATGGTGGTGGTGATGGTGGTGGTGGTGGTGATGATGGTGATGGTGGTGGAGATGGTGGTGGTGGTGGTGATGATGGTGGTGGTGATGGTGGTGGTGGTGATGATGGTGATGGTGGTGGAGATGATGGTGGTGGTGATGGTGGTGGTGGTGATGATGGTGGTGGTGATGGTGGTGGTGGTGATGATGGTGATGGTGGTGGTGGTGATGATGGTGGTGGTGATGGTGGTGGTGGTGATGATGGTGATGGTGGTGAAGATGGTGGTGGTGGTGGTGATGATGGTGGTGATGGTGGTGGAGATGATGGTGGTGGTGGTGGTGATGATGGTGATGGTGGTGGTGATGGTGGTGGTGGTGATGATGGTGGTGGTGATGGTGGTGGTGGTGATGATGGTGATGGTGGTGGTGGTGATGATGGTGGTGGTGATGGTGGTGGTGGTGATGATGGTGATGGTGGTGGAGATGGTGGTGGTGGTGGTGATGATGGTGATGGTGGTGGTGATGGTGGTGGTGGTGGTGATGATGATGGTGATGGTGGTGGAGATGATGGTGGTGGTGATGGTGGTGGTGGTGATGATGGTGGTGGTGATGGTGGTGGTGGTGATGATGGTGATGGTGGTGGAGATGGTGGTGGTGGTGATGGTGGTGGTGGTGATGATGGTGGTGGTGATGATGGTGGTGGTGATGATGGTGGTGGTGGCGGCAGTGACGGCGGTGGTGGTGGTGGCGGTGGTGGTGGCGGTGGTGGCGGTGGTGGTGGTGGCGGTGGTGGTGGTGGTGGCGGTGGTGGTGGTGACGGTGGTGGCGGTGGTGGTGGCGGTGGTGGCGGTGGTGTCGGTGGTGGTGGTGGCGGTGGTGGTGGTGGTGGCGGTGGTGGTGGCGGTGGTGGTGGCGGTGGCGGTGGTGGCGGTGGTGACGGTGGTGGCGGTGGTGGCGGTGGTGACGGTGGTGGTGGTGGTGGTGACGGTGGTGACGGTGGTGGTGGTGGTGACGGTGGTGACGGTGGTGGTGGTGGTGTTGGTGGTGGTGGCGGTGGTGGTGTCGGTGGTGACGGTGGTGGTGGTGGTGGTGACCTCCGCCCCTCCGTGTGAACGCGACACAGGCGTACCCGTCGCTGAAGCCGCTGGGGGCGTGGACGCGGGACCTGGTGCTCCGTGTCGACCACTTCTCCCGCTGGGCCCAGACGGCCCGGCCCCCGCTCCTCTTCTGGCTGCCGGCCTTCACGCTCCCCGCCGGGTTCCTCGCTGCCGTGCTGCAGGCCTCGGCACGGCTCAACGGCGTGAGCGCTTCGGCGGGGGGGGCGGGGGGGGGCGGGGGGGGCGGGGGGGGGGGGCGGGGGGGGGGGGGTGGGGGGGGGTGCCTGTCATCGTCGTCGTGATCGTAATCGTCATGGTCATCACAATTGTCGTCGTCATCGTCGTCATCGTCGTTATTATTCTCCGTTGAGAATCAACGTCTCGCGTGTGGAGTGTTCGGCCACTGCTCTGAATGTCCACGTGACGACGACGATGATGATGACGACTATGACGACGATGATGACGACTATGACGACGAAGACGACAATGATGACGACGATGACGACTAAGACGACGACGATGATGACGACGACGATGATGATGATGACGACGACGACGACGATGACATAGATGACGATGGCTACTATGACGACGACGATGACGACAATGATGACGACAATGATGACGACGATGATGACGACGTCGACGACTATAACGACGACGATGATGACGACAATGATGACGACAATGATGACGACGATGATGACGACGTCGACGACTATAACGACGACGATGATGACGACGATGATGATGACAACGACGATGACGACGATTCTAAGCCGCCACTCCGTGTGAGCTGCGGCCACTCCGTGTGGTGGTCACAGCGTCGCTTCTGACAAAGCAGGAGCTCAGTGGGGCCTTACCCTGATGTGTGTGGAGTAGTGTACTGTGTAGTGTACCATGTGTGTGTAGTGTACTGTGTAGTGTACTGTGTAGTGTGTGTGTAGTGTACAGTGTGTGTAGTGTAGTGTACTGTGTGTGTAGTGTACTGTGTGTGGAGTAGTGTACTGTGTAGTGTACTGTGTGTGTGTAGTGTACTGTGTAGTGTACTGTGTAGTGTGTGTGTAGTGTACAGTGTGTGTAGTGTAGTGTACTGTGTGTGTAGTGTAGTGTGTGTGTGTAGTGTACTGTGTGTGTAGTGTAGTGTGTGTAGTGTAGTGTACTGTGTGTGTGTAGTGTACTATGTTGTAGTGTACTGTGTGTGTAGTGTACTGTGTTGTATAGCATTGTGTGTGTAGTGTACTGTGTTGTATAGTATTGTGTGTGTAGTGTACTGTGTTGTATAGTATTGTGTGTGTAGTGTACTGTGTGTGTGTAGTGTACTGTGTGTGTGTAGTGTACTGTGTGTGTGGAGTGTGTGTGTAGTGTACTGTGTGTGTGGAGTGTACTGTGTGTGTAGTGTACTGTGTGTAGTGTACTGTGTGTGTGTAGTGTGTGTGTGGAGTGTGTGTGTAGTGTACTGTGTGTGTGTGTAGTGTACTGTGTGTGTAGTGTACTGTGTGTGTGTACCCTGTGTGTGTAGTGTACTGTGTGTGTAGTGTACAGTGTGTGTGTAGTGTACAGTGTGTGTGTAGTGTACTGTGTGTGTAGTGTAGTGTGTGTGTAGTGTGTGTGTAGTATCGTGTGTGTGTGTAGTGTACTGTGTGTAGTGTACTGTGTGTGTAGTGTAGTGTACTGTGTGTGTGTAGTGTACTGTGTGTGTGTAGTGTACTGTGTGTGTGGAGTGTACTGTGTGTGTGGAGTGTGTGTGTAGTGTAGTCTACTGTGTGTGTGGAGTGTACTGTGTGTGTAGTGTACTGTGTGTAGTGTACTGTGTGTGTGTAGTGTGTGTGTGGAGTGTGTGTGTAGTGTACTGTGTGTGTAGTGTAGTGTACTGTGTGTGCAGTGTGTGTGTAGTGTACTGTGTGTGTGTAGTGTAGTGTACTGTATGTGTAGTGTAGTGTACTGTATGTGTAGTGTAATGTACTGTGTGTGTAGTGTACTGTGTGTAGTGTACTGTGTGTGTGTGTAGTGTGTGTGTAGTGTACTGTGTGTGTGTAGTGTACTGTGTGTGTGTAGTGTGTGTGTAGTGTACTGTGTGTGTAGTGTACCGTGTGTGTGGTGTGTGTGGTGTGTACTGTGTGTGGTGTGTGTGTAGTGTACTGTGTGTGTGTAGTGTACTGTGTGTGTGTAGTGTACTGTGTGTGTAGTGTAGTGTACTGTGTGTGGAGTGTACTGTTTGTGTAGTGTACTGTGTGTGTGTACCGTGTGTGTGTAGTGTACTGTGTGTGGTGTGTGTGTAGTGTACTGTGTGTGTGTAGTGTACTGTGTGAGTGTAGTGTACTGTGTGTAGTGTAGTGTACTGTGTGTGTGTAGTGTACTGTGTGTGTGTAGTGTACTGTGTGTAGTGTAGTGTACTGTGTGTGTGTAGTGTAGTGTACTGTGTGTAGTGTAGTGTACTGTGTGTAGTGTACTGTGTGTGTGGAGTGTGTGTGTAGTGTAGTGTACTGTGTGTGTGTAGTGTACTGTGTAGTGTACTGTGTGTGTGGAGTGTGTGTGTAGTGTAGTGTACTGTGCAGTGTAGTGTACTGTGTGTGTGGAGTGTGTGTGTAGTGTACTGTGTGTGTGTAGTGTAGTGTGTGTGTAGTGTACTGTGTGTGTAGTGTAGTGTACTGTGTGTGTGGAGTGTGTGTGTAGTGTAGTGTACTGTGTGTGTGTAGTGTACTGTGTGTGTGGAGTGTGTGTGTAGTGTAGTGTACTGTGTGTGTGTAGTGTAGTGTGTGTGTAGTGTACTGTGTGTGTAGTGTACTGTGTGTGTAGTGTACCGTGTGTGTGGTGTGTACTGTGTGTGTGTAGTGTGTGTGTAGTGTACTGTGTGTGTAGTGTACTGTGTGTGTAGTGTACCACGTGTGTGGAGTGAACTGTGTGTAGTGTAGTGTACTGTGTGTGTGTACCGTGTGTGTGGAGTGTACTGTTTGTGTGTGTAGTGTACTGTGTGTGTAGTGTACCGTGTGTGTAGTGTACCGTGTGTGTGGAGTGTATTGTGTGTGTAGTGTACTGTGTGTGTAGTGTACCGTGTGTGTGGAGTGTGTGTAGTGTACTGTGTAGTGTAGTGTAGTGTGTGGAGTGTACTGTGTAGTGTACTGTGTAGTGTACTGTGTGTGTGTACTGTGTGTGTAGTGTACCGTGTGTGTGTGTGGAGTGTAGTGCACTGTGTGTGTGGAGTGTACTGTGTGTGGAGTGTACTGTGTAGTGTACTGTTTGTGTATAGTGTACTGTGTGTGTGTGTGTACCGTGTGTGTAGTGTTCTGTGTGTACTGTGTAGTGTAGTGTGTGTGGAGTGCACTGTGTGTGTGTGGAGTGTGTGTAGTGTACTGTTTGTGTGTAGTGTAGTGTACTGTGTGTGTAGTGTACTGTGTGTGTAGTGTACTGTGTGTGTGTGGAGTGTAGTGTACTGTGTGTGTGGAGTGTAGTGTACTGTGTGTGTGGAGTGTAGTGTACTGTGTGTGTAGTGTACTGTGTGTGTAGTGTACTGTGTGTGTGTGTAGTGTACTGTGTTGTATAGTATTGTGTGTGTAGTGTACTGTGTGTGTGTAGTGTACTGTGTTGTATAGTATTGTGTGTGTAGTGTACTGTGTGTGTAGTGTACCGTGTGTGTGGTGTGTACTGTGTGTGGTGTGTGTGGTGTGTACTGTGTGTGGTGTGTTTGTAGTGTACTGTGTGTGTGTAGTGTACTGTGTGTGTGTAGTGCACTGTGTGTGTAGTGTAGTGTACTGTGTGTGGAGTGTACTGTTTGTGTAGTGTACTGTGTGTGTGTACCGTGTGTGTGTAGTGTACTGTGTGTGGTGTGTGTGTAGTGTACTGTGTGTGTGTAGTGTACTGTGTGTGTGTAGTGTACTGTGTGTGTGTAGTGTACTGTGTGTGTGTAGTGTACTGTGTGTAGTGTAGTGTACTGTGTGTGTGGAGTGTGTGTGTAGTGTAGTGTACTGTGTGTGTGTAGTGTAGTGTGTGTGTAGTGTACTGTGTGTGTAGTGTACTGTGTGTGTAGTGTACCGTGTGTGTGGTGTGTACTGTGTGTGTGTAGTGTGTGTGTAGTGTACTGTGTGTGTAGTGTACTGTGTGTGTAGTGTACCACGTGTGTGGAGTGAACTGTGTGTAGTGTAGTGTACTGTGTGTGTGTACCGTGTGTGTGGAGTGTACTGTTTGTGTGTGTAGTGTACTGTGTGTGTAGTGTACCGTGTGTGTAGTGTACCGTGTGTGTGGAGTGTACTGTTTGTGTAGTGTACTGTGTGTGTAGTGTACCGTGTGTGTGGAGTGTGTGTAGTGTACTGTGTAGTGTAGTGTAGTGTGTGGAGTGTACTGTGTAGTGTACTGTGTAGTGTACTGTGTGTGTGTACTGTGTGTGTAGTGTACCGTGTGTGTGTGTGGAGTGTAGTGCACTGTGTGTGTGGAGTGTACTGTGTGTGGAGTGTACTGTGTAGTGTACTGTTTGTGTATAGTGTACTGTGTGTGTGTGTGTACCGTGTGTGTAGTGTTCTGTGTGTACTGTGTAGTGTAGTGTGTGTGGAGTGCACTGTGTGTGTGTGGAGTGTGTGTAGTGTACTGTTTGTGTGTAGTGTAGTGTACTGTGTGTGTAGTGTACTGTGTGTGTAGTGTACTGTGTGTGTGTGGAGTGTAGTGTACTGTGTGTGTGGAGTGTAGTGTACTGTGTGTGTGGAGTGTAGTGTACTGTGTGTGTAGTGTACTGTGTGTGTAGTGTACTGTGTGTGTGTGTAGTGTACTGTGTTGTATAGTATTGTGTGTGTGTAGTGTACTGTGTGTGTGTAGTGTACTGTGTTGTATATTATTGTGTGTGTAGTGTACTGTGTGTGTAGTGTACCGTGTGTGTGGTGTGTACTGTGTGTGGTGTGTGTGGTGTGTACTGTGTGTGGTGTGTTTGTAGTGTACTGTGTGTGTGTAGTGTACTGTGTGTGTGTAGTGCACTGTGTGTGTAGTGTAGTGTACTGTGTGTGGAGTGTACTGTTTGTGTAGTGTACTGTGTGTGTGTACCGTGTGTGTGTAGTGTACTGTGTGTGGTGTGTGTGTAGTGTACTGTGTGTGTGTAGTGTACTGTGTGTGTGTAGTGTACTGTGTGTGTGTAGTGTACTGTGTGTGTGTAGTGTACTGTGTGTAGTGTAGTGTACTGTGTGTGTGGAGTGTGTGTGTAGTGTAGTGTACTGTGTGTGTGTAGTGTACTGTGTAGTGTACTGTGTGTGTGGAGTGTGTGTGTAGTGTAGTGTACTGTGCAGTGTAGTGTACTGTGTGTGTGGAGTGTGTGTGTAGTGTAGTGTACTGTGTGTGCGTAGTGTAGTGTGTGTGTAGTGTACTGTGTGTGTAGTGTAGTGTACTGTGTGTGTGGAGTGTGTGTAGTGTAGTGTACTGTGTGTGTGTAGTGTACTGTGTGTGTGGAGTGTGTGTGTAGTGTAGTGTACTGTGTGTGTGTATTGTAGTGTGTGTGTAGTGTACTGTGTGTGTGGAGTGTGTGTGTAGTGTAGTGTACTGTGTGTGTGTAGTGTAGTGTGTGTGTAGTGTACTGTGTGTGTAGTGTACTGTGTGTGTAGTGTACTGTGTGTGTAGTGTAGTGTACTGTGTGTGGAGTGTGTGTGTAGTGTACTGTGTGTGTGTAGTGTACTGTGTGTGTGGAGTGTGTAGTGTAGTGTACTGTGTGTGTGTAGTGTAGTGTGTGTGTAGTGTACTGTGTGTGTAGTGTACTGTGTGTGTAGTGTACCGTGTGTGTGGTGTATACTGTGTGTGTGTAGTGTGTGTGTAGTGTACTGTGTGTGTAGTGTACTGTGTGTGTAGTGTACCGCGTGTGTGGAGTGAACTGTGTGTAGTGTAGTGTACTGTGTGTGTGTACCGTGTGTGTGGAGTGTACTGTTTGTGTGTGTAGTGTACTGTGTGTGTAGTGTACCGTGTGTGTAGTGTACCGTGTGTGTGGAGTGTACTGTTTGTGTAGTGTACTGTGTGTGTGTGTAGTGTACTGTGTGTGTAGTGTACCGTGTGTGTGGAGTGTGTGTAGTGTACTGTGTAGTGTAGTGTAGTGTGTGGAGTGTACTGTGTAGTGTACTGTGTAGTGTACTGTGTAGTGTACTGTGTGTGTGTACTGTGTGTGTAGTGTACCGTGTGTGTGTGTGGAGTGTAGTGCACTGTGTGTGTGGAGTGTACTGTGTGTGGAGTGTACTGTGTAGTGTACTGTTTGTGTATAGTGTACTGTGTGTGTGTGTGTACCGTGTGTGTAGTGTGTAGTGTACTGTGTGTACTGTGTAGTGTAGTGTGTGTGGAGTGCACTGTGTGTGTGTGGAGTGTGTGTAGTGTACTGTTTGTGTGTAGTGTAGTGTACTGTGTGTGTAGTGTACTGTGTGTGTAGTGTACTGTGTGTGTGTGGAGTGTAGTGTACTGTGTGTGTGGAGTGTAGTGTACTGTGTGTGTGGAGTGTAGTGTACTGTGTGTGTGGAGTGTACTGTGTGTGGAGTGTACTGTGTAGTGTACTGTTTATGTATAGTGTACTGTGTGTGTGTACCGTGTGTGTAGTGTGTGTGTGTAGTGCACTGTGTGTGTACTGTGTGTGTAGTGCACTGTGTGTGTGGAGTGTGTGTAGTGTAATGTGTGTACTGTGTAGTGTAGTGTGTGTGGAGTGCACTGTGTGTGTGTGGAGTGTGTGTAGTGTACTGTGTGTGTAGTGTACTGTGTGTGTAGTGTACTGTGTGTGTAGTGTACTGTGTGTGTGGAGTGTACTGTGTGTGGAGTGTACTGTGTAGTGTACTGTTTATGTATAGTGTACTGTATGTGTGTGTACCGTGTGTGTAGTGTGTGTGTGTAGTGCACTGTGTGTGTGGAGTGTGTGTAGTGTACTGTGTGTGTAGTGTACTGTGTGTGTAGTGTACTGTGTGTGTAGTGTGTGTAGTGTACTATTTGTGTGTAGTGTAGTGTACTGTGTGTGTACTGTGTGTGTAGTGTACTGTGTGTGTAGTGCACTGTGTGTGTAGTGCACTGTGTGTGTAGTGTGTGTGCAGTGTACTGTGTAGTGTGTGTGTGTAGTGCACTGTGTGTGTAATGTGTGTGTGGAGTGCGCTGTGTGTGTGTGGAGTGTGTGTGTAGTGTACTGTGTGTGTGTAGTGTGTGTGTAGTGTACTGTGTGTGGAGTGTGTGTACAGTGTGTGTGTGTGTGGAGTGTACTGTGTGTGTGTGGAGTGTACTGTGTGTGTGGAATGTGTGTGTGCTGTGTGTGTGGAGTGTGTGTGCTGTGTGTGTGTACTGTGTGTGTGTGTGAAGTGTGTGTGCTTTGTGTGTGTGTGCTGTGTGTGTGTGGAGTGTGTGTGTACTGTGTGTGTGGAGTGTACTGTGTGTGTGTGTACTGTGTGTGGAGTGTGTGTGCTGTGTGTGTACTGTGTGTGTGTGTGCAGTGTGTGTGCTGTGTGTGTACTCTGTGTGTACTGTGTGTGGAGTGTGTGTACTGTGTGTGTGGAGTGTACTGTGTGTGTCTACTGTGTGTGCGAAGTGTTTGTGTACTGTGTGTGTAGTGTGTGTGGAGACGTCTTGAGTCTAGCTGGGGGCCAAGCAGGGCCAGGCTCGGGATTGCTGCCCCTCATGCCGCTGTTGGTGCCCCTCCCCTCGCCCCCTCCCCTCGCCCCGCCCCCTCCCCCTCGCCCCCCCACCCCCTCCCCTCCCGCCCCCTCCCCTTGCCCCCGTAGATCTCCATGGACTGCCTCAGCTGGGAGTTTGTGGTGTCCACTGTGGAAGACAACAACATCCTGGTCCCTCCCAAGGTGGTGCACTCGCAACGTGTGGAGTGGACTCACACACACAGCACACACACAGTACACACACACAGTACACACACACAGCACACACACACAGCACACACACTCCACACACACAGTACACACAGCACACACACTCCACACACAGTACACACACACAGCACACACACACACTTCACACACAGTACACACAGCACACACACTCAGTACACACACACAGCACACACTTCACATACACAGTACACACACACAGCACACACACTTCAAACACACAGCACACACACACACACTGTACACACACACTACACACACAGTACACTACACACACACTACACACACCACTGTGGAAGACAACAACATCCTGGTCCCTCCCAAGGTGGTGCACTCGCAACGTGTGGAGTGGACTCACACACAGCACACACACTCCACACACACAGTACACACACACTCCACACACACAGTACACACACAGCACACTACACACACACACACACACTGTACACACACACTACACACACAGTACACTACACACACACTACACACACCACTGTGGAAGACAACACCATCCTGGTCCCTCCCAAGGTGGTGCACTCGCAACGTGTGGAGTGGACTCGGTGTAGAGTCGTGGTGTGTGGAGTCGTGGTGTGTGGAGTGGACTCAGTGTGTGTGTGGAGTGTCGAGTGTGTGGAGTGGACTCAGTGTGTGTGGGGAGTGTGGAGTGGACTCGGTGTGGAGTCGTGGTGTGTGGAGTCGGTGTGGAGTGTGGAGTGTGTGTGGAGTGTGGAGTCGGTGTGGAGTGTGGAGTGGACTCCGTGTGTGGAGTGGACTCTGTGTGTGGAGTGTGGAGTGGAGTGTGGTGTGTGGAGTAGACTCTGTGTGTGTGTGGAGTCGGTGTGCAGTGTGGAGTGGACTCCGTGTGTGGAGTGTGGAGTGGACTCGGCGTGTGTGTGGAGTGTGGAGTCGTGGTGTGTGGAGTGGACTCGGTGTGTGTGTGGTGTGTGGAGTGTGGAGTGGACTCGGTGTGAGTGTGGAGTGGACTCTGTGTGTGGAGTGTTGAGTGGAGTGTGGTGTGAGTGTGGAGTGGACTCTGTGTGTGGAGTGTGGAGTGGAGTGTGGTGTGAGTGTGGAGTGTAAAGATCGGCCTCTGTGGAGGTCGTGAAGGACGCCGCTGCTGCTGGGCAGCTGGAGGCTGACCCCCTGTGACCCCTATGACTCCCTGTGACCCCTGTGACCCCCTGTGACCCCCCCCGGCTAGGACGGGGTGTGGGTTCGGGGCCTGTACCTGGAGGGAGCCGGCTGGGACCGCCGGGCGTCTTGCCTGGTGGAGGCCGAGCCGATGGAGCTCGTCTGTGCCATGCCAACGGTGCACTTCAAGCCCGTCGAGAACAAGCGGAAATCCGCCAGGGGTGACCACCGCCACCACCGCTATCACCACCACCACCACCGCCACCACCACCACCACTATCACCACCGCCAACACCACCACCACCGCTATCACCACCACCACCACCGCCATCGCCACCACCACCACCACTATCACCACCGCCAACACCACCACCACCGCTATCACCACCACCATCACCACCGCCAACACCACCACCACCGCTATCACCACCGCCACTAACATCTGTACCACCGCCATCACCACCACCACCGATATCACCGCCACCGCTATCGCCACCACCACCACTATCACCACCGCCAACACCACCACCACCGCTATCACCACCGCCACTAACATCTCTACCACCGCCACCACCACTATCACCAACACCACCACCGCTATCACCACCACCACCACCGCTATCGCCACCACCACCGCCACTAACATCTGTACCACCGCCACCACCACTATCACCAACACCACCACCACTATCACCACCACCGCTATCGCCACCACCACCACCGCTATCACCACCGCCACTAACATCTGTACCACCGCCACCACCACCATCTGTGCCACCGCACTACCGCCTGGTGCGTGACTGTGCGTGCTACCACACGAGCAGTATGTGTGTGGTACCAGGCTAGGTACACAACTGTGTGTGTGTGGTACCAGGCTAGGTACACAACTCTGTGTGTGTGTGTGGTACCAGGCTAGGTACACAACTGTGTGTGTGTGTGGTACCAGGCTAGGTACACAACTGTGTGTGTGTGGTACCAGGCTAGGTACACAACTGTGTGTGTGTGTGGTACCAGGCTAGGTACACAACTGTGTGTGTGTGGTACCAGGCTAGGTACACAACTGTGTGTGTGTGTGGTACCAGGCTAGGTACACAACTGTGTGTGTGTGGTACCAGGCTAGGTACACAACTGTGTGTGTGTGGTACCAGGCTAGGTACACAACTGTGGGTGTGTGGTACCAGGCTAGGTACACAACTGTGTGTGTGTGTGTGGTACCAGGCTAGGTACACAACTGTGTGTGTGTGTGAGTGGTACCAGGCTAGGTACACAACTGTGTGTGTGTGTGGTACCAGGCTAGGTACACAACTGTGTGTGTGTGGTACCAGGCTAGGTACACAACTGTATGTGTGTGGTACCAGGCTAGGTACACAACTGTGTGTGTGTGTGTGGTACCAGGCTAGGTACACAACTGTGTGTGTGTGTGGTACCAGGCTAGGTACACAACTGTGTTTGTGTGTGAGTGGTACCAGGCTAGGTACACAACTGTGTGTGTGAGAGTGGTACCAGGCTAGGTACACAACTGTGTGTGTGTGTGTGAGTGGTACCAGGCTAGGTACACAACTGTGTGTGTGTGTGTGAGTGGTACCAGGCTAGGTACACAACTGTGTGTGAGTGGTACCAGGCTAGGTACACAACTGTGTGTGTGAGTGGTACCAGGCTAGGTACACAACTGTGTGTGTGTGTGGTACCAGGCTAGGTACACAACTGTGTGTGTGTGTGGTACCAGGCTAGGTACACAACTGTGTGTGTGGTACCAGGCTAGGTACACAACTGTGTGTGTGTGTGTGGTACCAGGCTAGGTACACAACTGTGTGTGTGTGGTACCAGGCTAGGTACACAACTGTGTATGTGTGAGTGGTACCAGGCTAGGTACACAACTGTGTGTGTGTGTGGTACCAGGCTAGGTACACAACTGTGTGTGTGTGTGGTACCAGGCTAGGTACACAACTGTGTGAGTGAGTGGTACCAGGCTAGGTACACAACTGTGTGTGTGTGTGTGTGGTACCAGGCTAGGTACACAACTGTGTGTGTGTGTGTGGAACCTGGCTAGGTACACAACTGTGTGTGTGTGTGGTACCAGGCTAGGTACACAACTGTGTGTGTGTGAGTGGTACCAGGCTAGGTACACAACTGTGTGTGTGAGTGGTACCAGGCTAGGTACACAACTGTGTGTGAGTGGTACCAGGCTAGGTACACAACTGTGTGTGTGTGAGTGGTACCAGGCTAGGTACACAACTGTGTGTGTGTGTGGTACCAGGCTAGGTACACAACTGTGTGTGTGTGTGAGTGGTACCAGGCTAGGTACACAACTGTGTGTGTGTGTGAGTGGTACCAGGCTAGGTACACAACTGTGTGTGTGGTACCAGGCTAGGTACACAACTGTGTGTGTGTGGTACCAGGCTAGGTACACAACTGTGTATGTGTGTGTGAGTGGTACCAGGCTAGGTACACAACTGTGTGTGTGTGGTACCAGGCTAGGTACACAACTGTGTGTGTGTGGTACCAGGCTAGGTACACAACTGTGTGTGTGTGTGAGTGGTACCAGGCTAGGTACACAACTGTGTGTGTGTGGTACCAGGCTAGGTACACAACTGTGTGTGTGTGGTACCAGGCTAGGTACACAACTGTGTGTGTGTGTGTGGTACCAGGCTAGGTACACAACTGTGTGTGTGTGTGTGTGGTACCAGGCTAGGTACACAACTGTGTGTGTGTGGTACCAGGCTAGGTACACAACTGTGTGTGTGTGTGTGTGGTACCAGGCTAGGTACACAACTGTGTGTGTGTGAGTGGTACCAGGCTAGGTACACAACTGTGTGTGTGTGGTACCAGGCTAGGTACACAACTGTGTGTGTGTGGTACCAGGCTAGGTACACAACTGTGTGTGTGTGTGTGTGGTACCAGGCTAGGTACACAACTGTGTGTGTGTGGTGAGTGGTACCAGGCTAGGTACACAACTGTGTGTGTGTGTGTGGTACCAGGCTAGGTACACAACTGTGTGTGTGTGAGTGGTACCAGGCTAGGTACACAACTGTGTGTGTGTGGTACAGGCTAGGTACACAAACTGTGTGTGTGTGGTACCAGGCTAGGTACACAACTGTGTGTGTGTGTGTGTGGTACCAGGCTAGGTACACAACTGTGTGTGTGTGAGTGGTACCAGGCTAGGTACACAACTGTGTGTGTGTGTGTGGTACCAGGCTAGGTACACAACTGTGTGTGTGTGTGTGGTACCAGGCTAGGTACACAACTGTGTGTGTGTGAGTGGTACCAGGCTAGGTACACAACTGTGTGTGTGTGAGTGGTACCAGGCTAGGTACACAACTGTGTGTGTGTGTGGTACCAGGCTAGGTACACAACTGTGTGTGTGTGGTACCAGGCTAGGTACACAACTGTGTGTGTGTGGTACCAGGCTAGGTACACAACTGTGTGTGTGTGGTACCAGGCTAGGTACACAACTGTGTGTGTGTGGGTACCAGGCTAGGTAACACAACTGTGGGTGTGTGGTACCAGGGCTAGGTACACAACTGTGTGTGTGTGAGTGGTACCAGGCTAGGTACACAACTGTGTGTGTGTGAGTGGTACCAGGCTAGGTACACAACTGTGTGTGTGTGAGTGGTACCAGGCTAGGTACACAACTGTGTGTGTGTGTGGTACCAGGCTAGGTACACAACTGTGTGTGTGAGTGGTACCAGGCTAGGTACACAACTGTGTGTGAGTGGTACCGAGGCTAGGTACACAACTGTGTGTGTGTGTGTGGTACCAGGCTAGGTACACAACTGTGTGTGTGAGTGGTACCAGGCTAGGTACACAACTGTGTGTGTGTGGTACCAGGCTAGGTACACAACTGTGTGTGTGTGGTACCAGGCTAGGTACACAACTGTGTGTGTGAGTGGTACCAGGCTAGGTACACAACTGTGTGTGTGTGGTACCAGGCTAGGTACACAACTGTGTGTGTGAGTGGTACCAGGCTAGGTACACAACTGTGTGTGAGTGGTACCAGGCTAGGTACACAACTGTGTGTGTGTGTGTGGTACCAGGCTAGGTACACAACTGTGTGTGTGTGTGGTACCAGGCTAGGTACACAACTGTGTGTGTGAGTGGTACCAGGCTAGGTACACAACTGTGTGTGTGTGGTACCAGGCTAGGTACACAACTGTGTGTGAGTGGTACCAGGCTAGGTACACAACTGTGTGTGAGTGGTACCAGGCTAGGTACACAACTGTGTGTGTGTGAGTGGTACCAGGCTAGGTACACAACTGTGTGTGAGTGGTACCAGGCTAGGTACACAACTGTGTGTGAGTGGTACCAGGCTAGGTACACAACTGTGTGTGAGTGGTACCAGGCTAGGTACACAACTGTGTGTGAGTGGTACCAGGCTAGGTACACAGAGAGAAGTGTTTCGTGGATGCATCCAGAACGCAGAGCAGATCGATGATCTTAGCACGTGTGGACCTCTCCCCCTCCCTCCTCCCCCCTTCCCCCCTCCTCCCCCCTCCCTCCTCCTCCCCCTCCTCCCCCTCCTCCCCCTCCCCCCTCCCCCCTCCCCTCTCCTCCTCCTCCCCCCTCCTCCCCCCCCTCCTCCTCCTCCTGCTCCCCCCCCACCCTTTCTCCCCCTCCTCCCCCCCCTCCCCCCCCACCTCCCTCCCCCCCCCTCCCCCCCACCCTTTCCCCCCCCCCCCCCAGGGCTGTATTCGTGTCCCTGCTACTACTGCCCGGACCGTGCGGGCAGCCCGGAGCGGCCGTCCATCGTGCTGGGCGTGGACCTCAGAGCGGGGTCACAGCCCGCGGACCACTGGGTCAAGCGTGGCACCGCACTGCTGATGAGCCTGGCCAACTGAAAAACACCACCACCACCATCACCACCATCACCACCATCACCACCACCACCACTACCACTTCCCCTACCCCACCACTACCACCACCACACCATCACCATCACCACACCATCACCACACCATCACCACACCACACCACCACCACCACTACTACCCCTACCCCACCATCACTACCCCTACCCCACCACCACCACACCACCACCACCACCACACCACCATCATCATCACCACTACCCCTACCCCACCACCACCCCTACCCCACCACCACTACCCCTACCCCACCACCACTACTACCCCTACCCCACCACCACTACTACCCCTACCCCACCACCACTACCCCTACCCCACCATCACCACTACTACCCCTAGCCCACCACCACCACTACCCCTAGCCCACCACCACCACACCACCACCACTACCCCTACCCCACCACCACCACCACTACCACCACCATCACCACCACCACCACCACACCATGACCAACACCACCACTACCACACCACCACCACCACTACCCCTACCCCACCACTACCACACCATCATCACCACCACCACACACTACATTATACACTACACTACTATACACTATACACTACACTACATTATACACTACACTATACACTACACTACATTATACACTACACACTACATTATACACTATACACTACACACTACACTACATTATACACTACACACTACACTACATTATACACTACACACTACATTATACACTATACACTACTATACACTACTTGACCGGGTTAACAGAGGGCTTTGTGATAACACAAATCCCTCTCACTACTAGATTCATGTTGAGTGTTTGTTCGTCTGGAGGTCGTTTCATTACTTGACCGGGTTAACAGAGGGCTTTGTGATAACACAAATCCCTCTCACTACGAGATTCATGTTGAGTGTCTGTTCGTTTGTAGGGCGTTTCATTACTTGACCGGGTTAACAGAGGGCTTTGTGATAACACAAATCCCACTCACTACTAGATTCATGTTGAGTGTTTGTTCGTCTGGAGGTCGTTTCATTACTTGACCGGGTTAACAGAGGGCTTTGTGATAACACAAATCCCGCTCGCTGTTGGGTGTCTGTTCAGCTGTGTGGAACCGGGCCTGGGCCTCCCCTGGGTCGGCTCAGCCTCAAACGAGTATATGGGGAGACAAAGGTGGCCGGAGAAGAGGGTGCGTGTGATTGCGTGCGTGTGTGTGTGTGAGCCACACGGCCGCCTTTGTCTCCCCGGTGGCGGCGTGTACTACACCACCACCACCACCGCTACACCAGGCACTCATTTGAGGCCGAGTCGACCTAGGTGTAGGAGACCCGGGTACCGGTTCAGATCATTTTCCCCGGCGCTGGCGGCCGTGAGCGGGACTCGAACTCGGGTCGCCGGGGTTCGTAGCGCAGCGTAGCGCTAACCGCTGCGCCACCGCTCCGCGCACACACACACGCACACACAGACACACACACACACACGCACACAGACACACACACACACGCGCACACAGACACACACACACACGCGCACAGACACACACACACACGCGCAGACAGACACACGCACACACAGACACAAACGCACACAGACACACGCGCACACAGACACACGCAGACACACACGCACACACAGATACACAGACACACACATGTGCACAGACACACACACAGATACACACGTACACACAGACACACGCACACACGTGCACACACAGACACACACATGCACACACGTACACACAGACACACACATGCACACACACATGCACACACAGACACACACGTACGTGTACACACACACGTACACACAGACACACATATACACGTACACACACACACGCGGATACACAGACACACACGTACACGCACACATGTACACACAGACACACACACAGACACGCACACATGCACACAGACACGCACACACGTACACACAGACACGCGCACACGTACACACAGACACGCGCGCACGTACACACACGTACACACGCACACGTACACACAGACACACACGCGTACACACATACACATGCACACACGTACACAGACACACACATGCACACACAGACACACACGTACACACAGACACGTACACACGTACACACAGACACGCACACACATACACACAGACACGCACACATATACACAGACACGCACACACGTACACACGCACACACGTGCACACGGACACGCGCACACGTACACACATGCACACACGTACACACGCACACACATGCACAGACGTACACACACACGTACACACACGTACGCACGCACACACGTACACACAGACACACACACGTACACAGACACACACGTACATACACACACACGTACACAGACACGCACACACGTACATACACACACACGTACACACAGACACGCACACATACACACAGACACGCGCACATACACACAGACACGCGCACACGTACACACGCACACACGTACACAGACACACGCGTACACATACACACACATACATGCACACGCGCATACACAGACACACACACGTACACACAGACACACACACACGTACACACAGACACACACAAACGTACACACGCACACACAAACGCACACTCAAACGTACACACGCACACACAGACACACGCACACACAGACAAACGCGTACACGTACACATGCACACACGTACACACAGACACACAAGCACACACACGTACACACACAGATACACATGCACACAGACACATATACACGTACACACGCGCATACACAGACACACACACGTACACGCACACACGTACACACAGACACACATGCACACACACGTACACACACACACGTACACACAGACACACATGCACACACACGTACACACAGACACGTACACACAGACACGTGCACACATACACACAGACACGCACACACGTACACCCGCACACACGTACACACGTACACACAGACGCGCACACGTACACAGACACGCACACACGTACACACGTACACGCGTACACACACATACACACGCACACACGTACACGCACACACGTGCACACACAGACACGCACACACGTGCACACACAGACACGCACACACGTGCACACACAGACACGCACACACAGATACACACAGACACGCGCTCACATACACACAGACACGCACACACGCACACACGTACACACAGACACGCACACACGTACCCACAGATACACACACATACACACAGACATGCACACACGTACACACGCACACGTACACGCGTGCACACACGTACACGCGTGCACACACGTACACACACGTACACACAGACACACATATACACGTACACACACGTATACGCACACACGTATACGCACACACGTAGACGCACACACATGACACAGACACACAGTACACACGTACATACAGACACGCACACACACACGTACACACACACACAGACACACACGCATACACACACACACGCACACACGTACACATAGACACACATGCACACACAGACACACATATACGTACACACACACATAGACACACACGTGACACAGACACACACGTACACACATGCACACACACACGCACACACAGGCACACACAGACACACAAAGATACAAAGACAAAGATCCCCCATATAGCCTTAACAGACTGTAGGGGCAAGTGCTGTTAGCGAGCACCTATGAAGGCCGGAACGGTACACGAGGGGGTGGGTGGCCAGCACCACGCCCGACCGCCTTTGTCTCCCCAGTGGCAATGTTTTTATCCACCGCACTAGGTACTCATTTGAGGCTGAGTCGACCTAGGGGAGGCCCAGGACCGGTTCAGATAATCGTCACTGATGTTGGGCGTGAGCGGGAATCGAACCCGGGTCGCCAGGTTCATAGCGCAGCGCGCTAACCGCTACACTATCGTGCACATATACACGTACACACACGTAGACGCACACACGTAGACGCACACACACGTACACGCACACACGTACACACACACACAGACACACACGTACACACAACTTTTGGCGTGCTGTGTGATTCAAGACCCGCCCAGAGTGTTCTTGTTACTTTGCTTCTCGATTAAAGAACGATGGTCGACGTCGATGTGACTCGGTTCCTCTATCATTCCCTGTGCCCGTGTCGATGAGTCCATCCGCCAACATCGCAACAACAACAACAACAACGCTCTATTGTACGCGGGGCGTGTGTAGGTAATGGCTCCATAGAGGCGCAATGAAGCACCGTTATAGGGAGGCAACACTATTTACTAACGCAACTTGTAGTGACACTCGGATAGCAACGGGCGTGGCCAAGCCAGGCGGGCCACTGTTTGGCCACCCTGGCTCAGGTCAGCGTGGAGCCGCCCTATATGCACCTCGTCGTGCCCAGGCCACGCCCAGGCCACGCCCAGGCCACGCCCAGGCCATGCCCAGGCCACGCCCACCTTCTCGAACCCTCGAGAAGGCTCTGCTCTTGGCCACGTGACCACCAAGGTCACCCTGGGGCCCATGGCCCCCACCTTGATCCGGTCACGCGTCCAGGCCGGGTTTGCACTACCTAGATTATAGTACACACGTACGTAACTAGTTAACTACATATTCTTAGTTTTTTCGGTAAAGTCACGTTGAAGAGAAACAACAAAATAACAAAATATATATAAAACAATAAAAAATTCTCACGACGTTTCGACCATAACTCAAACGGTCATCATCAGGTGTGTCTGACCGTTTGAGTTATGGTCGAAACGTCGTGAGAATTTTTTATTGTTTTATATATATATTTTGTTATTTTGTTGTTTCTCTTCAACGTGACTTTACCGAAAAAACTAAGAATATGAATTACTGCAGTCACGAAAGCTTTAAATCAAAATTTAGTTAACTACAGTTAACTAACTACCTAGATTTTAGTTAACTATAGTTAACCATAGTATAGTTAACTATATTATAGTTAACTATAGTTAACTAACTACCTAGATTATAGTTAACTATAGTTAACTAACTACCTAGATTATAGTTAACTATAGTATAGATAACTATAGTTAACTAACTGCCTAGATTATAGTTAACTATACTATAGTTAACTTACTACCTAGATTTTAGTTAACTAT